TGCCTCAGTCCATTTTATTTATTTATTTATTTATTTATTTATTTATTTATTTATTTTTCTGAGACAGATCTCACTTTGTTGCCCAGGCTAGAGTGAGTGCCGTGGCGTCATCCTAGCTCACAGCAACCTCAAACTCCTGGGCTCAAGCAATCCTCCTGCCTCAGCCTCCCGAGTAGCTGGGACTACAGGCATGCGCCACCATGCCCGGCTAATTTTTTCTATATATATTAGTTAGCCAATTAATTTCTTTCTATTTTATAGTAGAGACGGGGGTCTCGCTCTTGCTCAGGCTGGTTTCGAACTCCTGACCTTGAGCAATCCACCCGCTTCGGCCTCCCAGAGTGCTAGGATTGCAGGCGTGAGCCACCATGCCTGGCCCAGCCTCAGTCCATTTTAAAAGCTGACTTAACTTCAGTTTTCTTCTGAACTTCTAGTGTTTTGTGGTACTCTTCCTTTTTGCTAACTTATGAGCCACATGATCATATTTCAGGGGTCACAGTCACTTTAGCAATCATTAAAACAAAGTTCAGAAGAGTTAGAGTTCAGAAAAGTTTAAGTTTGAGACTCCAAGGGGGACACAAAGGTAAACAAGACATGATCCCTGCCTTCAAGAAGCTTAGTTTGGGTCAGACACTATGACGCTGTCAATGAGTCCCCCCAGGACAGCTACGCAGAATGCTGCTTAGGGAGGGAGTGGCGAACTCTGCAGGGGGAACTGGCAATCTCCATGGAGATGCATTTGGGCTGGGTGTGGATGGCTCAGAGGGAGCCAAGAAAAGGGTTGGGGCTTTAGGGACACATGTGGGTTTGGTAGCTTGGGTGGGTAGCCCAGGCTGGAAAGGCAGGTGGAGGTCCACTTATCAAGGCTGGCCTGCTACACTAAGAATTTGGGAGCTAAGGAGACATCAGAATTTCTAAGCAGGGAAACGACTAGGGCAAAAAGGCCCATAGCAACATGGAAAGAGTGAATTACAGAGGGGATCTGGTAGAAACTGGGGAACCATTGATGGAGCCAAGGGAGATAGGGAGATAGGAATTAGCAGATAGTTCTGCCCCACCCCCTCACACAGCTAACATTTGAGTCTTACTGCACCGGGCACTGTTCTTTTTTTTAAGAGTGGGGTCTCACTCTGCTGCCCAGGCAGCATAGCCTCAAACTCCTGGGCTCAAGCGATCCTCCTGCCTCAGCCTCTCAAGTAGCTGGGACTACAGGTGCATACCACCATGCCCAGCTAATTATTTTATTGTACTTTTGTAGACAGGATCTTGTTATGTCACCCAGGCTCAGGCACTGTTCTAAGTGCTGTCACACTCACCACAGCCACCTACCCTGAGGTTGGTAGTATCTTTGTCCTCATGTTACAGGTGAAGGAAAAGAGTAGAAAGGTCTAGTGACTCACCCAATGTCACACAGGGAGTGAGAACAGAGCCAGGCACAGTATGAAAGGCAGTCCAGGTCTGGAGAACATGCTAATCACCACCACATTTTACTGTCTGTTACTTTTACTCAATTTTGTATGTGCATGTACAGGAGTGGGGAAAGAGGAGAATAAACAAATGGCTATTAAAAGATGTAATCAAAGGCTGGGCACAGTGGCTCACGCCTATAATCCTAGCACTCTGGGAGGCCAAAGCAGGAGAAGCGCTCAAGATCAGGAGTTCGAAACCAGCCTGAGCAAGAGCAAGACCCCGTCTCTACTAAAAATAGAAAGAAATTAATTGGCCAACTAAAAATATATAGAAAAAAATTAGCTGGGCATGGTGGTGCATGCCTGTAGTCCCAGCTACTCGGGAGGCTGAGGCAGGAGGATTGCTTGAGCCCAGGAGTTTGAGGTTGCTGTGAGCTAGGCTGACCGCCACGGCACTCACTCTAGCCTGGGCAACAGAGTGAGACTCAAAAAAAAAAAAAGATGAAATCAAAACCAGTAACATGACAGGTATGAGTGTGGGAGAAGAGAAGTGCCCCAGGACCTGAGTTTCTTTCTCTCTCTCTCTTTCTTTTTTTGAGACAAAGTCTCGCTCTATGGCCACAGGTAGAGTGCAGTGGTGTCATCATAGCTCACTGCAGCCTCAAACTCCTAGGCTCAACCAATCCTCCTGCCTCAGCCTCCCGAGTAGCTGGGACTACAGGCACACACTACCACATCTGGCAAATTTTTAAAAAAAATTTTGTAGAGAGGGGTCTCACTATGTTGCCCAGGCTGGTCTCAAATTCCTGGCCTCATGAGATCCTCCCGCCTGGGCCTCCCAAAGTGCTAGGATTACAGGTGTGAACCATCATGCCTGGACATGGACCTGAGTTTCTAGGGGAGATGCTATGCAACATCTGGGGAATTCATGGTGGGGAGGGGGATGTATGTGAGCAAGCAGGACTCTACAGCCTCAGCACAGTTGATTCCTGCTCCTGAATGCTTGAGATGTAATTTACTTTGTCCTCCACTGCAGGCCAGGTCTCTGGAGCAAGTCATTCTTTAGACGGGTGGGGAGACATTCAGTCTGAATAACAGATCATTCCCTGCCCCACACTGGCAACATGAAAGGAGTTCTAGATGTGCAGGACTCCACTGTCCCTGGAAAGCCATCAGTGGGGGCACAGGAGTGGGCTGCCAGAACCCAGACGAATGATGCTTAGCACTCCACTTAGCCCGTGTTCACAGTCAGACACTGCAGGCTGCAGTGCAAAGGGATCCCGCTTTTGTGGACTGTAAAGAGAACCGCACCCTGAGAGGGCATGGTAGAGTTGATGCAGGAGAAAGGCTTCGTTCGGGCAGAGAGGCAGTAAACCAGGCTGGGGCAGTGGCTGGATTTAGCAGGAAGAAGGATTTTGGAAAGGCGACTCACTGCTTCTTTATCTGGAGCGAGGTGACTAGTCTCAGCCAAGTAGTGAGAAGCTTGCTTTAAATCCTCTCTGGAAACAGGTGGGATAAAAGTCAATGTAAAAGTCTAGTGTGCTCTTGGCAACATAATTCACGCCAAACCAAGCATTCTAAGGGTGTAATCTTTTCCTGCTGCCTCCCTCTTTCCCCAAACTTTTTTAAGCAACCCTGGAAATTCGACTGCTCAAAACTTTGTCTTCAAGCTCAGCAAGGAACCCCTCACCTCTCCTTCCCCAGAAGGCAAGTTTGGCCAGGATGCAGAGTCCTTGTCATTGTTCCCCAAGCCAAAAGTAAGAGTTCACGTGTCCAGGGAGTGCGTCCTCTGTGCCAGGCACTGTTCCAAGAGCTCTGCATATCTTAAGGCATGTAATTCTCATGATGACCTCTGAGGCAATTCTGAGAAAAACCAGTAGGAACTTAAATGAAACCAGAGTGAAACTAAGGGGAATGGGAAGCAGGCCTGAAGACACAGAGTCCCCCTGCTCGGGGTGGACTAGCCAGGAGGCCCCTGCAGCACCTCCTGGCCACGACGCAGGAAGCAGGGGAACCAAGGGCAAAGGAAAATCAATACAGTGTTGCGGAGTTAGAGGCTTTTACGAAACCATTTTTCTCAGCCTGGGGGTTAGGGTGGGCCTTCATTTCACCAGTTAAGCAGGAACCTAATCCCTCTGAGTGAGAAGTCCCCTAACCACACTGCTTACCAACGTGGCCAAAACCTGCTGAGAAAACCCTTTCTTTCCAAACTGATTTCCCTTCCTGTGAAAATGGCCAAACTTCAGTGAGCACTACGTCCCTGCACTGATCCTAGGCGGGGCAGGGCGCGCAGGGCAGGTGCTTGTCTGCAAGGGCAGGAGCAAGAGCTCTAAGGCCTGCACCCAGCCTGCCATGGTCATCTCGTCCACAGGGCTTCTCCCTAAAGCTCCGTCCCTGTGAGTCTGTGCAACAGCTGGCGACTGGGTAAGGGACATCACTGAGGCATGGGTAGCACGCCTCAGTGAGCTGATGGCGACTGCATGAGGTTGGCCAGACGGCCAGTGGAGCCAGCAGCTGAACAGGTGGGGCAGAAGGCAGCGGGCTTTTCTCAAGGGAAAGGGGACCAAGAACAGACAGTTCCCTAGGCCAAGAGCCTCCACGATGCTGAGGACACAATGCAGGCCACTAAGGCTCCTTTATGCCCTTCAAGTCTAAGGACAGTTTTACCTCCACATGCAACACAAATATTTTTTCCCTTTTCAATTCCTGGACTTCTTATTTCAACCCCCTGTCCCCCAAAAGGAGGTGACCAGGCAAAGATTGGGGGGAAGCGGCAGGTTGACATTAATTGATAGGAGCAGCTTCGAGCAGTTCATGCTGCCTTATCTCTCTCCTTTGGATAGCGTGTGTCCGCCGGAGTCCGCGGGGTCGGTGATTAATAGGGGCCATCACTCACTGTCCAGGACGGCTGAAAGGCAGCAGGGAGGGGGCGGCCCTCCCCAGAACTGAGATAACAAGCAGCAGGAATAATGAGTGGTGTCACTCCACTTTTCATTTTGATGGAAAGTCATTACGGGAGTCAACGCCAGCGACAAAGAGCCATGAATCAACTGCTCTGCTATGAAATTAAAATCGAATTGCTGGCCACCCCCAACCCCTACCCTTCCTGGGAAATGGGGATGGGTAGGTGGCTCGGGAGAGGGCTGCTATCCCGGAGTGGGCTCTATCCGATCACAGAGCAGGCAGTTATGGGCAGGAAGTGGACAGGCAGCCAGTAAAGGTGACAGCTCCTGTCTCCACCTTGTTTATCAGACCCTTCCTCCCCAAACTGCATTTTCCCTCTGCCTCAAGGTAAGCTGTGATTAAAAGAAAAATACAGCTTTGTTGGCTCCAGCAGGGCTGCCGCTCGACTGCTTGCCTTGGGCTTCTGGCCTCAGTGGGGCAGCCTGGGCCTGGCTATGGAGAGAAAGGGCCCAGCGGGCTCAGCCATCCCAGAGCCTTGCCAAATCATTTGTGGATTTGGGGTCCTCCTTACCACCAGAAGCTAGAGAATAAAGGCCTGGAAAACCCACCTGGATCAAGAACCCCATGAAAACAGGTGCACAGACTCAACTCCAGGCTTGGAGAAGCATTATAAGTAACTGTCAGTAGTGAAGCAAGAGTCTTCATATTTTATTAAGTGCACTAGACTAAGTAGAAAGAGAAGCTGTGGTTTCAGGCTGACAGGCCACACGGGATTGTAGACAATCAAGACAGCCTCTCGTAGAGACAACAGTGAGTGCCAACGTTATCATCCAAGTGATGGCTCCTTCCTGTGGCTTTCTGTCCTCTGATCTGCCTGGTTTCTTGCCGGGAAAGGCTCCACAACATTGGCCCTGGCTGTCCCACCTCCATCCCGAAGGCTGAGAAGATGGGCAGGCAGGAACATGGAGGGTGTCACAGGGAGGTTCCCATCAGATTCACAGGGCGCCCGCTGTACCTCTTGGAGATGTCAGCTTCAATCTGAAAGGCAGCAATAACAAGTGGGCGGAAGCCAAGAGGTGCAGGGCCTCGTTCTGCAGAAACTGGGGTCCTCCCCCTGCGCAGGTTTCCCTTTCCTGTCTTACCAGCTTCTGCAGCTCCTTGGTCTTCTCCAGGAGCAGGTCCAGCTTGGGCTCCAGGGCTGCCTGCTCCTGAAGCGCTTCCTGCTGCTTCTGTACCATCAGCTCTTTCTTCAAAGCCAGCAGCTGGGACTGCTTCAGCTTTTGCTGGAGGAATTCAGTGACTCGGTCCACATACCTACACAGCGCGGTCAGGTGAGTGTGTGGGGTAGCTGTGTACCCTGAGCATTCCTGTTCAATTGCTGGGAAAGGTAAAGCTTGGGAAACCAAACCCCTAATTGGCCTCTCATCCTCACATCCTTAAATCCTTTTTTTGTAAGGAATACCCCATTTTCCAGTTCCCCTGTCCTACTTGGGAAGCAGATTTTGCCTGCATACATCTAACCACGCCATCTTGTCCCAAGAGAACCCTTATCCCCAGCAGAAGGCAATGACTAGGAGGTAGGGAAGGCCAGGAGGCAGGGATGAGGCCTGAGGGTCAAGGAAGAAGGGAGGGATACAGCGAGGCAGAGTTCCTCGACATGGCAGAGCCCTACATCAGGGAGCAAGCCAGACCTCGGTGAGGCCAGGATCATAAACAGGTGTTGCATTCGGAGATTGGTGAGCCGGCCAATCAGATCCTGCAGCACTGATGCCATGGTAACCATCTTCTCTTTGGTCTGGCCCTGCAGGATGGCTGGAGCCAGCTGGAATTGGCTCACAGATAGGATGTCTGCTTCCTCACTCATCTCCACCGCTCTCTGGGACAAGAAGATTTCAAGCTGAGGATGGAAGAGGAATTGGTTCAAACTGAGACCAGAACTCAGAAGCTAAGGCCTCAGACTGCTCAAAATGCAAGAATGAGATGTGAGGGCCCAAGTCTGGGTGAGAAGAGGTTATCTCCTCTGAACACTTTCATTGCTAGAAACTCAACAACTCAACATGAGTGCTCAGGGCTGCCTGTGCTCTTTGGTCCTCCATTCCCATCTCAGGCCTGCCTGGCTCTGCACCTCCAACTTTCCTCCCCAGCTGTGGGTCAGATAACTGAGAAGACAGAGACTCAAAGGGTTCTGTCTGCCCAGTCAAAGTATTTACTTTCTCTCCTTGGGAGGAAGGAGATTCTGGGAATAGGAATCCCTGCTTTAGAAGCCATCAATTCAGAAAATGCTGAAAAGAATATGAGAACCAGCCATACATCTCATCAATCTTATTCTGCCATAAAAATTTGATACCTTTTGTCCTCCTCTCCCCTTGAGGTTAGGAAGACCCTCTCTAGGCAGAAAGAGGAGAGAACTCAGTGATAACTGAGAACTTTCAGGAAGCTCTCCCAACCACAGGCTACTAGGAAGGGAACAGACCCAGAGATTAACAAAGATGGGCCGTCATCTTCCCCACTCCACAATGAAGGTCCCAGAACACTGGCTCCTTACACTGAGCTGCTCAGCACCTTAACCCAGGGATTGTACTTAACACAAATGAGATGTTGTTCCTAACCTGTTTAAAATCTCCAACAGCTTCTCAGTCTGCTCAGAGTCAAACCAAAGTTCAGACTCTACCTCTGAGCTCCGATTCTACTCCCTGCCAGCTCCCTCTCCTCAGTCATACCAGCCTCCTTGCTGTTGGTTAAACAGGGGAGGCACGCTCCCACACCGGGGCCTCTGCAGTTGCTCTCTCTGCCTGGGAAGCCCTTCTGCCAGACATCCCCTGGCTCTCTCTGCACCACCTGCAGTCTCGATTACAGGTCACATTCTCACTAAGGCCTTCCCTGACCGCCAGATACAAAACCACAGCCCTTGCCAATAACCCCCATCTCCCTCCCCTACTTTCTTTTCCTCCACAGCACTTAGTACTATCTAACATACTGCCTGTTTTACTTATCTTCTTTCTTGTCTGCCTTCCCCACTAGAACATAAGCTCCATGAGCTCAAAGACCTTTAACTGTCTTGTTCACTGCCCAATTCCTGGTGGCTAACACAGTACCAGGCCCTTATGAGGAGCCTGATAAATATTAGTTGGATGAATATGGGGTGTCCTAATAGGTGAGGCTCCTGCACCAGGACATGGAAAGCACTCAGCACCCTTGTCAGGTCAGATGTCTGGAGTGATGCTGCCTGTGCTGGTGCCACACCTCCCCCAGCATCTCTGAGATGACAGTACCTCCATGAGCTCATCAATGAACTGATTCCGGGTCTCAGGGTATTCAAGAAGTGTCAGAGCATCTGGACCCCTTGCAACACCTTCTGGAGCTGCTAGGAAGAGGACAGAGAAGTGACTAAGGATCTGACGACCACAGAAGGAAAAGACCCTCAAGTTTGAGAAGCCCTGGTGGATCAATATAGACACAGACTCACTGCACTAAAACCAACCTCCTTCCTGTGTCAACCAAGGGACAAGGTTACCTTTTACCAGGTGACTAAGCCTCAATCAGGCTCTACTTTCCAACCCCAAGTCCGAGAGGAGCTGGGTTCAGGGGAGCAGAAAGGCTGGCTCTCTGCGCTGGTGGGTGGCAGCAGGTAAAGTTTCATCCTGCACTGCCCTCTAGTGGCGAACACACGGCTACATCCTCTCTGCAGGAGGGGAGGGAGGTCAGGTCAGACTCTAGGGCTGACCCACCCTGCTGGAACCCTCCCAAAAGACTGGCTCTCTAAAAAGTTGAGAGTTTCTAGACTTAATTTTAACACCTTAACTGCCACGTGAGTTTTATTTAACTCACAATAGTTTTGAGCCTGGGGCCTTGTGAAGCAAAACCTGGGCAAAACCCTGCAGTTGGTTCATGCAAATCTTACTTGATGTTCTTATTGTTACAATTAATTGACACTTTAATTCTCAAAATGTGGATTAAATGAATAGAAGTCAATAAATTTCATTTTGCTATGTATGTTTACCTTTAAATTACACTTAAGCCTGACAAGTCAAGAAAAACACTTTACACTTACGAACTATTTTTCAAGTTTTCATATTACTTTTTCTATTACTAATTTTCAAGTTTTTATATTATTTTATTAAAAAAACACAAAAAAATTAAAAATAACTTTTTCATTTAATTAGAAAGGATTGTTTTGTTTTTGAAGTTTTAATTATGTTTTCATAATAAAACAATGTGGAAAACAATTTTTTTTCTTTTTGAGACAGAGTCTTGTTCTGTTGCCCAGGATAGAGTGCTGTGGTGTTAATCTAGCTCACAGCAACCTCAATCTCCTGGGCTCAATCGATCCTTCTGCCTCAGCCTCCTGAGTAGCTGGGACTACAGGCATGTGCCACCATGCCTGGCTAATTTTTTCTATATTTTTAGTTGTCCAATTAATTTATTTCTATTTTTAGTAGAGACGGGGTCTTGCTCAGACTGGTCTCGAACTCCTGACCTCAAGCGATCCTCCCGCCTCAGCCTCCCAGAGTGCTAGCATTACAGGTGTGAGCCACCATACCCGGCCCAATTTTTTTTTCTAGTGTGGCAGTCAGTGTGTTAAGAACCTCTCTCAGGCCCCCTCACATCCTCATCAAGATTCTCAGAAACAAATGTGTGAGAAGCCTCATCTCAGCAGTGCATTTTTTTGTTTCTAGAGACACAGGAGCCCTGGAGCACCCCACTTTCGCCAAGGCTGCAGGGGATGGTGCTTACCCTCGGTCCCGGCTTCCAGCACTGTGATCTGCAGAGCAGCAGTATCATCTCCCCAGTCGATCCCATCACCCCCAGGGTCCTGGAAGGAGAGCAAAGAACCCAGCAATGTTGGGAGAACTTACCTGAGCAAAGGAGCCCTTGATGCATTCAATGCATGTTCCAATTGCATTAAGGATTTGCAGCCCTGACGTAGGTGACAAATAAGTCAGTCTGGGCCCATTTACGTTGCTATGATCATCCCTGCTTTGTAGTTTCCATCCACCTGCCTACCCTCACACCTTGCCCCAAATACCAGGTCAAAAACTCTGACCTGTCACTTTTGAAACTCTGCCTCCCTTGGACTACACCTGGTCTTAGAGCTGTGAACTTCAAGTGATGCCTTTACAAACTCAAAACTCAAAAAATCCTTTTTCTTTTTGAGACTGAGTCTCACTCTGTTGCCCAGGCTAGAGTGTTGTGGCCTAGCTCACAGCAACCTCAAATTCCTGGGCTCAAGCGATCCTCCTTCCTTAGCCTCCCAAGTAGCTGGGACTACAGGTGTGTACCACCATGTCTGGCTAATTTTTCCTATTTTTAGTAGAGATGGGGTGTCACTCTTGCTCAGGCTGGTCTCAAACTCCTGACCTCAAGCAATCCTCCTGCCTCAGCCTCCCGGAGTGCTAGGATTACAAGCATAAGCCACCACACCTGGCCCAAACAACCCTTTTCTTATGGTTAAAGTAGTGATCACAGACAGATCAAAGGGGACCCTACCTTTGAGTCTGATTCCAGGGAGATGCCCCAGTCAATTCCAGCGGCCTCAGCAGAGATGCCAGAGTCAGTCCTCTCAGAAACTGCCTCCAGCCCAAAGTCGCCCCAGTCAATCTAAAAGGGAAAAAGAGTATTAACTTGCAGAAGGTGGGTAAAATAAAGGGGTGGCTGCCTTCCCACATGCCTTAGCTGCTTCTGTAGGGAGCACACTGATTAAATGCAATAGCCTGCAAGGTCCCCCAAAGAAAGCCCATTTTTCTAAAAGCTCATGCAATGGAGGGTTTTGGTTCAAAGCAAACTAGCTTACTGAGCACTCACCTACACTCAGAAAAATAAAGAAGTAGGGCCTTCTGGGCCCTTCCACCTATAGGCTAACAAATCCCCCTTTCTTGCTTCTGGGGCTCTGAATCCAGGCCCTAGAGTTGGGCTGTCTGTGGGAGGGTGGGAAGCAGCTCCCACTCCTTTGGTGGTAGCTACTTATAATGAAGCTCGTCTTACCGCGTCTTCTTCCACCTGCTCAGGAGGCTCCTCAAGGTGCGGCCGCTCCACCACAGAGGGTTCTGTCCCCGTCCTCCACTCGTACACCGTTGAATTTCCCCGCTTCTGCACAAACCGCAGCATTGGCAACACCTGCTCTGTGGGGCTTCAACAGGGCACATAACTGATTCTCCTGCTGACCACTCATGAAGGCAAACCTGGCTTCAGCCTGGGCTGTGTGGTCAAATGGGCAAGGCTCCCACTGGTTCCAAGGTGTTAAATAAAGCTCACATGTCATGTGGGAAAAATATAAGTAGAGAAGAGAGACAAGCCAGGGAACATAGGTAAACCATCTCCTTGCTAGAGAGGAGCTGAGGTTCTCTTTACCTTTCACAAACAAACCCCACACAGGCCTGGTACAGGTCGATGGCTTCCCCCAGAGACTGAGCTGCCACCCCAATCTCAGCCAGCTGACTTGGCAGGTCCTTCACCAAGCCCAGCAGTTCTCTTCGGACATTGTCTCCCTAGAGAGGGTAGAAGCGGGGGGAGGGGGGCACTGAGACAGAAGTCGTGAGAGGTGGAGTCCAACAGATTAAGGAAAACATCCAAAGACCAGAGAAAGGCAAGACATGAGCCCAAGAGGGGCACAACTTGGCTGAGGGCTCAGGCCCAGCAAGACAGACAGAGGTCTAGGTGCCATCCCCCTGCAACGAGCCCACTCCTGCTCACCGTGATGCCATACTGCTTGCATGAGTGGAAGAACTGTTCCCGCATCTCAGCGGCCCCTGCCTGGCCCTCCTCCTCCTTGCGGCTGTATTCTTGTTGCAGCTGCTGGCACTTGGTGATCTGCTTCTTCAGTGAGGGGATCTCATAGTTGACATTCCGAACCAGGAGGCTAGAGAGTTCCACTGAGAAGGGCCCAGGAAATTCAGCCCAGGACATGCACACATAAAGTAAGCATTCCCCAGGAAACACAAACACACCCTGGGTGGTGGTGAGGAGCAAGAGGTCGGCCTCCCAGGCCCTCCCCTTCCTAGCTATGAAGCCTAAAACAACCCTCATCTGTAAAACAGTGACAATGATATTTATTGTGAGGATGCAAGAGAGAATCCATATAAAACACCAAGCACAATTCCTTGCTTTTGGTTGGAGCTCAGTAAACATTAGCTATTATTATTGGTATTGATACTATTCAGAAACAGAACCCAGGCCGGGGGCGGTGGCTCATGCCTGTAATCCTAGCACTCTGGGAGGCCAAGCGGGCGGATTGCTCGAGGTCAGGAGTTCGAAATCAGCCTGAGCAAAAGTGAGACCCCGTCTCTACTATAAATAGAAACAAATTAATTGGACAACTAATATATATATAGAAAAAATTAGCCGGGCATGGTGGCGCATGCCTGTAGTCCCAGCTACTTGGGAGGCTGAGGCAGTAGGATCACTTCAGCCCAGGAGTTTGAGGTTGGTGTGAGCTAGGCTGACACCATGACACTCACTCTAGCCTGGGCAACAAAGCGAGACTCTGTCTCAAAAAAAAAAAGAAACACAACCCAAACTACCACCAGCCCTTTAGTGGCTCTCTCAGCCACCTGATATGGGCACCAGGATGACCCATGCATCTTTTGCCTGGTATATGGAGGGGATGGAGACAGCACATCCCCCAAGAGGTGAGTGGTAGAGGACCCACACACCCCTGCTCGGCCAGGCACAGCAAATGCCTGCTACCTGCCTGATCCTCCTCCTTCCCCAGCACTCTGTGGAAACTACAAACAGGCAACTCCTATGCCCCACCCTCTTCCCCCACACAGACTGTGCCTCCTATAAACCTGGCATCTCAGAACTCTGGGAATGGGTTTCCCCATGGGTGCCAGGACTCCCAGCCTGGGCCACTTTACCTAAGTAGGTGTTGTCCTTCTCATACAGGGATATAATCTCCTGCCAATCCTGAGTAAGATCAGAAAGAGGAAGTAAGCCAGAAACACATTTGACAGCCACATCCCCACTCAGTCCCCACACAGGGGAGGCTCCCCAGCCTTCGCATCACATCGAATACAAACTTCTTGTCCTCCTGCAACTCATAATGTTGGCTGCATTACACACGTTATTTTCTAGAGTGTGGCGCCAACAAGTGATCTCCAAAGCAGGGGGTATGAAAATTTAAACCCAGGGGTAGGATCTACTTTTGGCATAAACTACTGAGACAGAGCAAAAAAGTTCAGCAAATAGTCTATGTAGGCATCTCCACTGGACCCTCAGAGAGACCAGAGAGGCTTTGACCCCTGGACTGGATGTCCCCAGCTGCACATTACCAGCTGTCAGCTCACACTTGCCTTCATCCGCTGTGAAGAGTAGCGGCCAAAGATATTTTTTGTGGAGGCCTCAGTGCTTTTGAGAAGGTCCACGATTCTTAGGCAGTGGAAGTAGTGAATGTCTGAAAAACAAGGGAGAGTGAGGACTTTTAGAATAACAATATCTTCCTCACCTACCTGGGTGCTGTAGATGGCTGTAGATACAGTATGTATACTGTACTGCTGGTCATTTTAGCATGTAGCTTTTTTTTTGAGACAGAATCTTACTCTGTTGCCTGGGGTAGAGTGCCGTGGCGTCAGCCTAGCTCACAGCAACCTCAAACTCCTGGGCTCAAGCAATCCTACTGCCTCAGCCTCCCAAGTAGCTGGGACTACAGGCATGCACCACCATGCCCAGCTAATTTTATATATATATATATTTTTTTTTTTTTTAGTTGTCCAATTAATTTATTTCTATTTTCAGTAGAGACGGGGTCTAGCTCTTGCTCAGGCTGGTTTTGAATTCCTGACCTTGAGCGATCCTCCTGCCTCGGCCTCCTAGAGTGCTAGGATTATAGGCATGAGCCACCGGGCATGGCCGCATGTAGCTCTTTCCTTCATTATTTCACGTAGAAAGAAATCAGCATCTACATCCCAAATAAAAATCTCTCTCTCCTTCTTGGGGTCAGTCCTGGCAGCTAAACAAGGAAGCAGCTCAGCTGATACATACTACTCCAGGAAAGAGGGGACTCCAGTGACAGCCCCAAAGCACTCACAGGACCCAGAGAGCAGCTGGGCTATCTCTTCGCTCTCTGGCATGTCCTGGATGGCAGCATTGATCTTCTCCCGGATCGTCAGCACCAGACTCTGCCATTTCAGGCTGCAGTGCCTTCTGTCCACCAGCCAGTCTGCAGGAGAAACACCACATCACAGCGTTCCCATTCATGTCACCAAAGTTGTGTCACTAATTCAAGTGAAATACCCTGAGATGTTGGTCTAAAAGTTGCCTTTATATCGGTTAAGGTATGGGGGTCATGGGAAGATGAGAATAAAAACATGCCCTGGCCGGGCGCAGTGGCTCACGCCTGTAATCCTAGCACTCTGGGAGGCCGAGGCGGGCGGATCACTCAAGGTCAGGAGTTCGAAACCAGCCTGAGCAAGAGCGAGACCCCGCCTCTACTATAAATAGAAAGAAATTAATTGGCCAACTAATATATATAGAAAAAATTAGCCGGGCATGGTGGCGCATGCCTGTAGTCCCAGCTACTCGGGAGGCTGAGGCAGCAGGATTGCTTGAGCCCAGGAGTTTGAGGTTGCTATGAGCTAGGCTGACGCCACAGCACTCACTCTAGCCTGGGCAACAGAGTGAGACTCTGTCTCCAAAAAAAAAAAAAAACAGGCCCAAAGAGATGCTTGGGGGTAAGCAGACTGACAACCTGACTCCATCTGCAGTGTGATTTTTAGACAGCAACTGTCTCAACACAGGGATAAAGAAAAACTTTAAACTGGTCCTGACATGAAAGTGCCACTTTTGACCATTCTAAATTCTCCATAATATTTTTGCTTCTATGGGTAATTATATCTTTCTTGCTGAGAGAGGATGCTCTTTAACTTCCACTTCCTCAGGGCTGGGATTAACCATCATAATGGAAAATACAAGATGGTTATGCCAAGTGCCGGATGAATGAAAAACTGCAAAGCCCCTAATACCTACAGCACTATAAGGACTAGATACCATTCTTCACAGTGAAATACACCCTATAAATATGAATACCAGTGGGGCAGTGGGACTGACCTCTTGGCAGTTTGGGCCCAGAGCTGTGGCTTGAGAACCAAGCATGTTTCCTTAGAAGGAGAGAGCTAAGAGTTAGGCTTTGTGGTCAGATGGTTGTGCGGATTTTTGGGGTTTTTGTTTTTTTAGACAGAGTCTCACTCTGTCACCTCAGGTAGAATACAGTGGTGTCATTGTAGCTCACTGCAACCTCAATCTCCTGGGCTCAAGCAATCCTCATGCCTCGGCCTCCTGAGTAGCTGGGACTATAGGCAAGCACCACCATGCCTGGCTAATTTTTCTTTTTCTTTTTTTTTTTTTTGAGACAGAGTCTCACTTTGTTGCCCAGGCTAGAGTGAGTGCCATGGCGTCAGCCCAGCTCACAGCAACCTCAATCTCCTGGGCTCAAGCGATCCTCCTGCCTCAGCCTCCCAAGTAGCTGGGACTACAGACATGCGCCATCATGCCCGGCTCATTTTTTCTGTATATATTAGTTGGCCAATTAATTCCTTTCTATTTATAGTAGAGACAGGTCTCGCTCTTGCTCAGGCTGGTTTCAAACTCCTGACCTCGAGCAATCCACCCCCCTCGACCTCCCAGAGTGCTAGGATTACAGGCTTGAGCTACCGCGCCCAGCCTAATTTTTCTATTTTTAATAGAGACGGGGTCTCACTCTTGCTCAGGCTGGTCTTGGACTCCTGAGCTCTCTACCTCTCTGTGCCTCAGTTTCTCCACATGTAAAATGGGGATAATAAGACAGAGTAGAAGGGGGAATGCAGGTAAAACACTGAGCACTGTGTCTGGCACATGGCAAGGACTCAACAAATCTTAGTTATCTTAATTTTTATATCAAGTGCCTAAAACAGCACTTGGTATAGAGCAAACATCCAATGAACTATTGTTTCATTGGTCCTTTTCATGATCAAGAACAAGGTCACACACCAAGACTGTACATGAACTGAAGAGCTGAGGACAAATATGAAGTGAAGCTAAAGAAGCTCTACTTTGGGACTAAATGGTCCCATATAGCAGTAAATTCAGAACCTGAATTCTACCAACTAGTCGAACACTGGGGTCTCACACTAGCATCAGTCATACTCCTTCTGCTGTACCCCTCTAAAGTTTTCAGAAAGAAAAATTCTGTATATGTCACAGAACTAGAAGCAGAGGACTGAGGTGGTCAGACAGACACCATCTCAAGGAAGACTGGCATCAAATCAATGAACCTGGCTGGGTGCAGTGGCTTACCTCTGTAATCCTAGCACCCTGGGAAGCCAAGGTGGGAAGATCACTTTAGGGCAGATGTTCAAGACCAGCCTGAGCAAGAGCAAGACTCCATCTCTACTAAAAATAGAAAAAATATCCAGGTGTGGTGGCACATGCCTATAGTCCCAGCCACTCAGGAGGCTCAGGCAGGATAGCTTGAGCCCAGGAGTTTGAGGTTGCTGTGAGCTAGGCTGATGCCATATGGCACTCTAACATGGGTGAGACTCTGTCTCCAAAAAAAAAAAAAAAAAAAAAAAATAATCAATGACTTTAATCTCTAATAAGCATTTAAAAATGCCAGGAGCTGTGCATATGCCCTGGTGGTATGGTCAGATGAAGAGGCCCTTCCCTGGCTCTGAAGTGGGGAGAAGGTATGTAGGCCAGATACAGACAACCCAGAGATGGCCTGGCTGCTAAAGGTCTTTATTTCCAACTGGGTCTTAAGTCCCTCTTCTTCCTAAAACCAAGGAGAGATGGATGCTTTTAAAAATGAAGGAAGAGGCCGGGCGCGGTGGCTCACGCCTGTAATCCTAGCACTCTGGGAGGCCGAGGCGGGCGGATTGCTCAAGGTCAGGAGTTCAAAACCAGCCTGAGCGAGACCCCGTCTCTACCATAAAAATAGAAAGAATTTAATTGGCCAACTAATATATATAATATAAAAATCAGCCGGGCATGGTGGCTCGTGCCTGTAGTCCCAGCTACTCGGGAGGCTGAGGCAGGAGGATTGCTTGAGCCCAGGAGTCTGAGGTTGCTGTGAGCTAGGCTGATGCCACGGCACTCACTCTAGCCTAGGCAAGAAAGCGAGACTCTGTCTCAAAAAAAAAAAAAAAAAAAAAAAAAAAAAATGAAGGAAGAGAAAGCTTTTTTTCTGGCGCAATGCAAACAGCATGAAGATTGAGTCAGACAAACTTTAAGCTCCAATTCAGAAATGCCACTTGGTTGACTGTCTCTAAAGAAAGCCATTTATCCTCTGTCGCTGAATGACATGATTTGATAACACGTTATAAACGTTAAAATAGAAAACGCAAGTCAAGTAGACTCCATCCCTCAGCTCTCAGCGAGGCATGTCGGACCACAGATGGGAACATAGAACAAGGTGAGTTGTCAGCACCTCCACCCAGGCTTTCAGTCGTCAGAGATCCTAGCTTTTGGCAACAGGGGGCAAAGGACAGGCCTCCCCCCACAGCCGGCCGCGCGGGGGGCGCTCCCTCCTACCGAGCAGCTTGCTGGTCTGGATGTCGATGGGCACATGCTGATGGTCCTGGCGGGAAACACGGTGGGGAGAGGGGTGTGAACGCGGGGAGGGGACGCGCCACTCGCGCGCTCATTTCACAATCCCAACCGCCACCCTGTGGGGCCTGAACGATGGGCCGGGAAGGAAGGCGCCCGCAGGGAAGACGGGGACGCGAGTCAGGGGTCGTGGGTCAGTCCCCATTCCCCCAGTGGCGAGAGTCCCCACTCCTGTCCTCACACCTGCATCTTTCCCTCACTTCCGCTTCCGGCCGGAAACCCAGGTCCCGCCCCTCCACTAATCCAGCGCGGGTGTGGCAGAGCTTCAGTGTAGGCACAAACGGTCCTCCTTCTGCCACGTAGCCGCCTTCCGCAGAGCCAATCAGGGCACACGCTCCACCCCCGGAGCCTGTGGGGGCAAGCCCCGCCCACCCGAGGTTCCGAATGGCAGAGCCCGGGAGGGGCGGGAGAACAAGGGACAGCCAATGGGAGACGCGAGGCGGGCTCAGTCTGGAGAGGGGCGGGGGTGCCTAGAAAGGGCTGCAGCGGAGGCGCTATCGCGACAGGCGGCGCCCGAGAGCCCGGCCGGGCCGCCTTTTCCTCCCGTGCACCTAGAGCCCTTTCCGAGCCGATTAACGTGTCTGCGGGCCGGGTCCTAGCGCCGCCCCGGAGCCCTCGAAAACGCCTTCTTCCTTCCTTGCTTCGTTTTACCGTCCATAGCAGTTTGTAGGTCTCTTGTGGCACTTGTCACGCTTTACCTTCCCATTCAGTTTATCTAATAGACGTGGCTGAGCATCTGCTACCTGTTGGGCAATCAGGACAGGGAAGGGGAGGGAGGAGGGTCTGGGAGGCATCCCAAAGATCACACCTACATTGAGTCTTGAAGAGCTGCAGAGAAGGGGCGATATGGGGAAGGATGTTCCGGGTGGAGGAGACTGCACAGACAAATCTTTGGCGGCCACAAATGGCAAGAGGGGGTGGGGAACAACAGGCAGGCAACAGGCAACATAATTTTTGGGGTCCAGTATAAAATAGAAATGCAGAACCCCTTGTTAAAAAAATTATGAAGCGGCTGAACGTGGTGGCTCACGCCTGTAATCCTAGCACTCTGGGAGGCCGAGGCGGGCAGATCGTTTGAGCTCAGGAGTTCGAAACCAGCCTGAGCAAGAGCGAGACCCCGTCTCTACTATAAATAGAAAGAAATTAATTGGCCAACTAATATATATAGAAAAAATTAGCCGGCCATGGTGGCGCATGCCTGTAGTTCCAGCTACTCGGGAAGCTGAGACAGAAGGATTGCTTGAGCCCAGGAGTTTGAGGTTACTGTGAGCTAGGCTGACACCAAGGCACTCACTCTAGCCTGGGCAACAAAGCGAGACTCTGTCTCAAAAAAAAAACAAAAAAAACCAAAACCCGAAGCATCGCAGCCAGACGAGGTGGCTTATCCCAGTAGTCCTAGCACTTTGGAAGGCTGAGGCAGGAGAATCATTTGAGGCCAGGAGTTCAAGACCAGCATGGGCAACATAGAGAGACCCTGTCTCTACAAAAAATTTTGAAAATTAGCCGGGCAGTAATTTTGAAATTACTGCCACATGCCTGTAGTCCCAGCTACCCAGGAGTGTCAGAGAGTAGGTACCCGAGCTTTCTGTAACAGGAGGATCCCTTGAGCCCAGGAGATTAAGGATGCAGTGATCTATGATCAGGCCACTGCACTGTAGACTGAGCACCAGAGGGAAACCCTGTCTCAAAAAAAAAAAAAAAAAGAAAGGCGGGGCTCTGGTGGCTTATGCCTGTAATCCTAGCACTCTGGGAGGCCAAGGGAGGCAGATCCATAGAGGTCAGGAGTTTGAAACCAGCCTGAGCAAGAACGAGACTCCATGTCTACTAAAAAATAGAAAGAAATTAATTGGCCAACTAAAAATATATAGAAAAATTAGTTGGGCGTGGTGGCGAGTGCCTGTAGTCCCAGCTACTCGGGAGGCTGAGGCAGGAGGATCACTTGAGCCCAGGAGTTTGAGGTTGCTGTGAGCTAGGCTGATGCATGACACTCTAGCCCAGGCAACAGAGTGAGACTCTGTCTGGAAAAAAAAAAAAATTATGAAGAATTTCAAGATGAAGCTGGCACCTACAGGTAGGCCAGCCTCTGTGCAACAAAAGATTTGAGCAGGGAGTAGCCAGGGAGGATGCCACAAAGGTGGAAGCCTCATATCAAAGGTTGTCTTCTTAAGGAATTTAGACTTCACTCCTGCAGACAGAGGAACCACTGAAGGATTTTAAGGGTTTGAGGCAGGAGGGACTTGTACAGATTGACTGCAAGGAACATGAATTTGTGGGAGATAAGACTGGGGACAGAGAGGCTGGAAGGAGATTGTTATCCAGAGATTATGGTCTGACTTGGAACACAAGGTGTGGGTGGGCTGTATTTGAGAGATGTTTAGGAGGAAAATGGACAGGACTTGGCAGTTGATGGGCTGTGTAGGTTGGGGAGAGAGACACCAAGGATGACACCTAGGTGGTTGGGTGGGAGTGCCACCACCTGAGACAGGGATGCAGGATGCTGAGCCGGTGTTGGGGAGGAGGGGATCTGAGCTTTGAACCTGGGCTGGCAATGCTGGGAGAGTCACAATCTGGCTAATGTGTGGTCCAGGTGGTGGCTGAAGCTGAGGGAGGGCTTGAGAAATTGGCCAAGAAGTGGGTAGAGTGAGGAGAGAGGGTGGACTGAGCACAGATTTTCCGAGGTCTCACAGAGCTGGGAATGCCATTTCTAAATACCCCCTCCCTGGCTCACCACAGCACAGCACTTGGGGCTCAGTAAATTTCAATTGAACTGCTCAGTATGATACAGCAGTGGGAAGATCTAGATTTCTGTCCGGTGAGACCTTGGACCATTTCCGTAACCTCTCTTGATAGTTTTTCAACATGGAGATAACACCTATCCTATCTCAAGGTATTTCTGTTTAGAGGCTTAAATACATAAACATACTAGATGTATATAACTCTATGATTTACAACATAACTTTAAATATATTTTCTTGTGTTTTGCCAACTTTATATATGAAACATTGTATGTAATCATTTTTATTGTAAAATAGTTGAAAAACTTCCCTGTAAACAGCTCATAGGGCAGAACCAAGGGCCTCTTCAGGGCTCTCTCATGGGAATTTGGCTCCCATCTCAGAGTCCTGACTCAGGCTATAGGAATTGCTTGGGCTCCCCTATGATTAAACAAACACTTACTGGGTTCCAACTATGTGCTCAGGGCTCTCTAGGACATCCCAAGAAGCATGCCAACTGTCCCCCCCCCCAGGTGTTTCTCTCCTCCTTGAACCAATAGGCCGGGCAGAATAGGACAGGGTGGGTCTGGAAGACCCAGCCTAGTGAGTTGGTGGAAGCAGAGACCACCGGCACTCCACCTCCCTCCTTCCTTCTCCCCACCCCTGGAGCTCCCAGATGACTCACCTAGAGCAGAAGGTTGTTTGAGAATAGCACTGCCCAGGTGCTGACCCCTGGGAGGCTGCCCCAGAGAGCAAAGGAACATGGGCCTTAGGCAGCATTCTGCACTTTTCAAAGGCCACAGGGAACTTCAGGGCCTGTGGGCAGAAAAATACATAAGTAGTCTGGCATCCAGGGTGTTGACTCTGCCTGCTTGGGGGCAGGGGGTTGGTCATCTGGGGTCTCAGCATCTGGAAGGAGGCAGGAAAAGTATATGGGAGGCTTCTTATATGAATCTCTCAATTCTTTACTGATTTAGCAGGTGGGACACTGGGGGAGGGGCAACACACATAGAGAAGTGAGTGCGGATCTAGCAGGGCTGTGCCAGCTTTGGACAGGGAAGCAAGAGCCCTGAGGTGCTGTGTGCACGTACAGGCTGCCTCCCCATCCTTTGTTGTTGTTGTTAGCTTGCTTATTAAGTGATAACCCCGTGCTGCGTGCCAGTGTAGATCTGAATGTTTTACAAGCCTTATCTAATTTGATCCTTCTAACAACCTTATAATGTGAGTACTATTACTAGCCAGATTTTAAAGGTAAGGGAGCCAAGGTTTAGATAATTAAATAACTTGTCCAAGATCACACAGCTGGTAGTTGAGGGGGCTGGCTCGCCAACCTGCCTTCCTGTTCTCTCTGGAATGTGCCTTTGTTTCTCCCTAGCCACAATGGCCTCAGGTCTCTTCCTCTCTCTGGCCTGATTCCCACTTTCTCTCCAGTTGTTGTGCCAGACACGTAGAACCCCCACCCCTGCAGTCCCTGCTCCTTCCAAAGTTCTTTCTTACCACACCCCATTCTGGGCGAGGGCACCCATTACTGATCCTCCTGCAATGTTCATAAAAAGAAGGCTTACCCTCAACATTCACATAATCCACTTCTCTTATCTGCCATATGTTTATTACTTTATGGTCTGTGTTTCTGCTCACAGCCACACTGACTATGGTGTGTGTGTGTGTGTGTGTGTGTATCTGCCTGCTGGGCTGGAAGCCCTGGAAACTTAGCAGCCTTGTCTGGCATCCCCTTCCTGTGTGGAGTGAAATCTCTGTGTCATTTTTTCCAGTCTGTCTCACCTACTAGTCTGTGAGCACCTGTGGGCAGGGAATACAGACTTGCTCTTCTCTGTAACCCCAGGACCTGGCATGACACCTGACATTGGGTGTCAGGTGCTTAATGGATGCCTATAAAGCAAGGAAGGAGAGAAGGTGTGGCTGTATGTAGGAAGGCATTTAATGATGATGGTGGCTGTGATGAGTGGGGACTATGATCACTTGGTCTTGGGGGAAGAGGTGTGAGGTCCCTAGCTCCTTTCCTCATCCTTCCCTCTATAGCTCAGGACTTAGAGTCAATCCCACTGAGCCTCTTGGGAGTGGATGGAGGAAACCAGGGAGAAGAACTCAGGGCTGGTCAGCTTCCTAAGTTAATGAGGCCAATGAAGGTCCCTGCAGGGCCAGTCACCTGGCATTCTCCCTGTGCCTCTCCTCCTATAAGGACACTAGGCCTTGGATTTAGGGCCCATCCTAATCAAGTATGACCACATTTTAGCTAAATATATCTGTAAAACCCTATTTCTAAATAAGGTCATATTCTGGGGTTCTGGGTGGAAAATTGAAATGTCCATGTCACAGATTGTATTCTCTAGAAGTAGGTGGTGTTTTGGGGGGCAAGATGTTCGTTAGGGATCATTTCCTGTGAAAGGAAGCAGATGGCAGTAGGATTGGGCAGAGGGAAAAATCTAATTGCACTGCAGGCCTGACAAAGCTTTGGTCAATTTGGTGGGGGCCTCTGGAGTGAATATTGCCCCTCAGAGTGTCTTTTAAGGGGCTGCAATGGGCGGACGTTTATATCCCCAGAAGTGGGCTTTCTGTGGCTGAGGCAGACCCTGAAGGAGCCGACAGCTGGTAGCCAACTGCTGACCGCACTCCTGGGGCTGGGCAGCAAGTACCTCCCTGAAGGAGGACGCAGGAGGCACACTTGTCTACACGGCCTGGTGATGCAGAGTTAGTCAGAATGAAGAATGTGGCAGGCTGCAAATGGCCCTCCAAAAGATAGCCACACCAAATCCCCAGACTCTGTGAGCATGACCTTATTTGGAAAGAGGGTCTTTACAGATGTGATTAAGTTAAATGTCTTGCGATAAGGAGATAATCCTGGATCATCTGTGTGGGCCCTAACTGCCATCTCAAGTGTCCTTCTAAGAGAGAGGCAGAGGGAGATCAGCCAAACACAGAGAAGAGGACATGGTGATGTGAAAACCGGGCAGGTAGAGATTGGAGTGATCCGGCCACAAGCCCAGGAATGCCTACGGTCGCCACAAGCTGGAGGAGACAGGGAACAGCTGGAGCCTCCAGAAGGATCGTGGCCCTGCCAACTCCTTGGTCTTGGCCCAATGAAATTGATTCCAACTTCTGGCCTACGGAATAAGTCAGAAGAATAAATTTCTGCTGTTTTAAGCCATCGAGTTTGTGGTAACTTGTTATGGAAGCCACAGCAAACTATTAATAATACAAAAAGCAGCAGGGAGAATTGCTAGTGGGGGTGCAAGTTGGTGTATCCAGTTTGAGGATCCACCTCAGGGGGCTGGCCTTGGGGACCAAGAGCTCACACATACAGAACATTTGGAAGAGTGCTTGGAATACAGTCCCCCTAAATATTGGCCACTCCCACTCCTCACTGAGGTCCCCCTTAAGGGAAGACCTCCCACAAAAGCAGGAAGAAAGCCCCTCCAATGGCAACGTTACTACCCACCTGGGTCAGAAGGCAGCTTCTGCCCGCCCTGCCTGGCCTCGCTGCTGGACCTGGTGTAGCCCACTAGAGGTCATCCGCCTTGCCTCACTAGTCACCTCCGGATCTCCAGGCTCCGGCCTTCTAGAAAAGGAGGAGTGCTGAGAAGAATAGCAGCTCCTCTCTTTTCCCTATTTTGGGAAAGAAATGTCCCTGAAGCCTAGATCTACTTGCTGGGCAGTGGTCAGTAAAAGGGGAAGAATTTTTTTTTTTTTTTTTTTTACAGACAGGGTCTCCCTCTGTCACCCAGGCTGGAGTGCAGTAGCACAATCATAGATCACTGCAACCTCCCACTCCTGGGTTTAAGTGATCCTCCCACCTCAGCCTCCTGAGTAGCTGAGACTACAGTCAGGCTGCACCACCACGCCCGGCTAATTTTTCTATGTGTTTTTTTTTTTTAATTTTTGTAAAGCCAGTCAAATTTAGCAGTGGGTGTATGTGTTTTTTAGAGATGGGGTCTCCCTATGTTGCTCAGGCTGGTCTCAAACTCCTGGGCTCAAGTGATCCTCCCGCCTTGGCCTCCGAAAGTGCTTCGATTACACGCATGAGCTACCGTGCCCAGCCCAAATGGAAAGGATTTATAATCCAACAGCCCAGTGGCTGTGTGCCCCAGCAAGGCACCAAGGTCCTTGGGGCTCGCTCACGTGAATTTAACTTGCTTTACTCAACAAGGTCACATTTCTGAAAACGTGCATGCCGCATGTTTGTATATGGCATATCACACTTGAACCTAGTTTTAGGAAGGTGCGCTTAAAGGTGAAAATTTTTATAAAGCAATAAAGTGGCCTGTGGGTGGGGAGTTATATTCATAGCTCACAGCTTTATCTCAAACTTCCCCACCCTGCTCCTCCCAGAAATAAATCCCCTGAAGGCCAGGGGTTGGACCTGACTTCCTAGGCTCCTCCCTCCCAGGAGGAGGGGCTGGGGCCTGCTCCTGATCCTGATGGTGCTCTGGAAGGGAAGGCCACACAGGTGGACCTGCCACTGCAGTTCTTGCTGCGGCACCTTCTCCAGCATGGGGCCGATTGAACAGGATCTGCCCCCTGGGTCTCAGACATCAGAGAGGCCTGGATCTCAGAGGCAGGGAGAATGAGCACCTCTAGGACCAGCCCCTTCCTGTACAGATGGGAAACCTGGACCTGACCTGGGTTACTGTCCCCCAGGCAAAAGCCCATCCCACCATCCTGGTCTGGAGCAAGTAGAAGCAGGATTGGAGATGGAGGGGCAGGTTTGAGGGTTGCTTACTTGTGATTTAAGATGTAACTTGGAGGGGGAGCCAGGGACAGGGGGGATTTTAGGCCTTTTCTCTACTCAGGGGCCTCACTCTGTGTCTGCAAGTGCACACCCAGTCCACGGAGGCAGGTAGCTAGCGGGTGGAGTGTCGCAGTGGGCAGCACTGGGAAGCTGCAGTGACACTGAAGACACAGCAGGTGCTTTCCACCCTCCAGCGATGCCCATCTGAGGGGGGAAATGCAAACGCAAACAGGCCACCTCAGGGTGGCTGCACACAACACGCGGTGTCTCCGAGAGTAGCCCTGGCTGAGGGCCGCACTCGGTCCTGCTGATGGTGGGCATGAGGGGGAGTGTGGCTGCAGATCAGTGAGGACAACGTCCCCCACTGCACACACGCTGCCCCTGCCCCCAGTCGGTGCCCATCATCTGCCTTCTTGCCTTTTCCTCTCCTCCTGCCTCCCCAAGGGCCCACCTCGCCCTCGTCCCTGAGAGCTTGCCCCAGGTTTTGCCAACTTTATGATACCCAGCGAGGCCCTTCCAATAGACTGCTGGAAGTTCGGGGAAGTTGAACCCAGTGGCACTTTGGGGGTGGGAAGGCTGTCACAGCTGTCTTTGAGAATCTGATAAAAATATAATCTGCAGAAAAATCAATGCCCCTCTGCCCACACACGTGGAGTTCTGCATATGATTTCAAAGGTCCTGAAGCCCACCTGTAAGCGAGGGGCGGGGTGAGGATGTTTGAGGTTGTGGTCTGGAGAGCCTGGTCCAAGGAGCAGGTCAGTGTCCCCTTTTTCCCTCCAGGGAGATCTTGAGGAGGGACCCTTCGGGTCAGGAGGGAACCACAGCCCCCCACCCAGCACCGTCTTTGAGGCTTCTGGCAGGGGAGGGACAGCCTGGGAACCGGTCTGCCAACCAGTTTAACCAGGGACTGGTTTCGACTCAGGGAGTTCAAAAGAAGCTGGGGTGCACCCCTGCCCGGCCTGCCAATGGGAGCAGCGGCCCTTAACCCTTTCCCAGCTGGGGCCTGGGCAACACCCAGGTGGTGGTCCATGCTGGAGAGGGGTCTGAGGCTCTTCGGAGGATGAAATGGGTCGGCGCGACCTTGCCTGCATCGGGGGGGGGGTGCAACCAGACACCTGAGAGTGGGGAAACTGAGGAGAGAGGCTCTTGTGCTCCCCCACCCCAGACTTCCCTTGGGATTCCCTCCTCTGGCTTGGCAGTCCCTGGAGGACCCTAGTGGATGCAGGGGCGCTGGGATTGGATTTCTGGGGTGATGAATATTCATCAGCCTGAGCCGGCCTCTGCTTCTGTTTACTTAGCCGGGAGGAGCTGGGTTTCAGGTTCACCTTGACTCCAGGAGCGGCAGCAGCGGAGCGAGCAGGTACCCGCTCCTGCACCTGTTTCTCTTGTACGTGAGGTGCAGCTGCTCCTGCCCACCTCTCCTGGCCTGAGCCTTGCCCGGTGCGACACCCTGGAGGCACCTCCTCCTCCCCCAGTCTCACCCACCTGGGCATCTCCTGCACTCAACTCCTTCTCTAGGGAAGGTCTCACCTCCAGCCCGGAGCAGTCAGGATTACAGGTACAGGCAGAGGGCTGGTGGGTGGGGAAACCAAGGCACAGTCCCCAGTCTGGGGACACAGTCCTATCTCTGTGGCTGACAAGCCCAGGAGGAAGGGGAACCCAGCAAGCTGTCTCCACTCGGACTTATCCCACTGGCCTCTTGGAGTCAATCCAGGCCTCCAACAGAGCTCCTGACGGGAAAGTTTCACTCCAGAGCAGGTCTCTACTAACTGTTGTTTACCTGGGCCCACCCCTTCAGACCCCCAGCCTGGAGCATGTTTTTTCCTGCTGTCTGGTGGGAACATCTCCCCTTTCTAATCCAGAGTACCCCAGTCTCTTCCAGTATGGACGAGTGGCATTAGGGGTCCTGCAGAAGGAGGGGGGAGGGGGCTTCCAGGTTTTGTCTTACAACACAGAAGCTGACTTGCACCCCCGCCCCGCACCTCTGCCCCTCCACCCCCGCCCCAGTCAATGGTTAACTTGTCCCGGCTCAGAAGGGGCCCAGTGCAGTCTAGGCAAAGCCCTTCAGAGCAGCTCACAGAACCCATGGGGTGGAGGGGCCTGTCCTGGGGCAGCCACGTGCATGTCAGAGTGCTGACTGCCAATGGCAGGGGGTGGCAGGCTGTCCCAAGAGGCCCTTCATGGGCCCCAAAGCTGTGCAAACAGCAGAGGTGGCGCTGGCGTCCTCAAGGGCTGGTTTCTATTATCCCATGGATGGCAGGGCCCCAGGGCAAGGGCCTGGCCCTCCGCTTGGCCAGCTCAGGGCCTCGCACAAGCAGACTGCAGGGCCCACCTCATGTCACGCTGGCTGTTCAAAATCCCAAACACCCACCCTCCCTCCCCCAAGTCCCCTCTGTGGTAGGCATGGGCACATAGCTGTCTTGCTCTTTGCAACTTTGGGTATCTGGGAAGTTTGGATTTCACATCATCTTTTTATTTTTAAAGTAGATCAGATTTTACACTATCTTTTTTATTTTGAGACAGAGTCTCACTTGGTTGTCTAGGCTAGAGTGAGTGCCGTGGCGTCAGCCTAGCTCACAGCAACCTCAAACTCCTGGGCTCAAGCAATCCTCCTGCCTCAGCCTCCCAAGTAGCTGGGATTACAGGCATGCGCCACCATGCCCGGCTAATTTTTTCTGTATATATTAGTTAGCCAATTAATTTCTTTCTATTTATAGTAGAGATGGGGTCTCGCTCTTGCTCAGGCTGGTTTCAAACTCCTGACCTCGAGCAATCTGCCCACCTCGGCCTCCCAGAGTGCTAGGATTACAGGTGTGAGCCACTATCTTTATCATCACTATTTATCTAAAGAATCCTATTCCTGGATTATTTTGTAAAACAAACAATAGCCCGCTAATTAATCTGTTTTGCAAATTCATATTTCCCTGTCAGTCTTGCCCAAAGGGGCAAACACTTGCCTACTGGCAACACTTGCCTCAAGTCGCCCTCCTGGGCAGAAGAGCTAGGAAGGCCTGGCGAAGAGCATCCTGGAGAGGCCAGGGCACCAGGCACAAGACCAGGACACAGGGCATGGTGACTTGGTGCTTTGCTGGAGGCCTCAGGGCAGGGCACATGGTCTATTCTTGTCTCTATGTTTTCTGACAAGTTCCTTGTGATCTGTGGCTCCCTTTACTCCAAGGACAGTTAAGCCCTGTGGATGCTAACTTGAAATACCTGTTAAAATGGGTACATTTGTACTGGCACCGGTAGAAGCCACTTTCTCCCATGGAGCTAGGAAATCTAGTGGTTATATTGGGCTCAGCTGCTGAGTCTTCTGTTCCTCCATACCCCAAGTTCCTTGGCAGCTCCAGATGGGCAGTGGTGGGGCCATGGACCTTGCCACAGACAAGGCAGTGACTGGGACACCCGCAGACCAAGCAATCGCTCTGTCCCTCCTCTCCTGCCCTCCCCACACTTCCTTCCAGAAACCCATTCTGGAACACCAAGTTCTGGGTAAGGCTGTGTTAAGCCCAAGTGGGGCAAGCTGCCAAAGCAAACCTCTCAGGCTGTCCCTTGGTGCACTTACCTCTCCAGGGTGCCCTGAAAGGATTTACCTGGCCACCCTCACCCTCTCCTTTACTCTCTGAGTGGGAGCTGCACGGATCTGCCCTCGGCTTTTCTTGCTACTTGAGTCCTGCTAAAGGGACAGAGCTGGCAATGTGGGAGCTGCTTCCCAGACATAGAGGTGGGAAGCAGCCTGTGCTCTGAGGAGGGGGTGAGAGTATGGAGGGGCAGGGACAACAGCAGCAAGGGCTCCACACAGGCATTCAACTCATTGCAAGCCTGGGCCAGCATCCTGCTTTCATTTTTCCTGAATTTGAGTATGGCTTTTCCCCCAAAAAGCCATACTCATCATGGAAATTCTGGAAATCAGAAAATTATAAGGGGCCGGGCGCAGTGGCTCGCGCCTGTAATCCTAGCTCTCTGGGAGGCCGAGGCGGGCGGATTGCTCGAAGTCAGGAGTTCAAAACCAGCCTGAGCAAGAGCGAGACCCTACCTCTACTATACATAGAAAGAAATTAATTGGCCAATTAATGTATATAGAAAAAATGAGCCGGGCATGGTGGCATATGCCTGTAGTCCCAGCTACTCAGGAGGCTGAGGCAGGAGGATGGCTTGAGCCCAGGAGTTTGAGGTTGCTGTGAACTAGGCTGATGCCACGGCACTCACTCTAGCCTAGGCAACAAAATGAGACTCTTTCTCAAAAAAAAATTATAAGGGAGGACAGGTGTGGTGACTCATGCCTGTAATTCCAGCATTTTGGGAGGCTGAGGTAGGAGGATCGCTGGAACCCAGGAGTTCCAGACCTGCCTGGGCAACATAGTGAGATCCCATCTCTAAAAAAAATTTTTAATTAGAAAAAAAAGAAAGCTAGAGGGGAGAAAGGGGAGAAAGCATCCTCTACTCTTTCTTTAGAAAGAAACCCACTATTAGTCAAGTGGAATATTTCTGTTTGGTCTTTTTAAAAACACAGTGAAGACCACATGTTTTTTTTTTTTTTTTTTTTTTTTTGAGACAGAGTCTCGCTTTGTTGTCCAGGCTAGAGTGAGTGCCGTGGCGTCAGCCTAGCTCACAGCAACCTCAAACTCCTGGGCTAGAGTGATCCTTCTGCCTCAGCCTCCAGTAGCTGGGACTACAGCATGCGCCACCATGCCCTAATTTTATATATATAATATTACAGTTGGCCAATTAATTTCTTTTATAAGTAGAGACGGGTCTCGCTCTTGCTCAGGCTGGTTTTGAACTCCTGACCTTGAGCAATCCGCCCGCCTCGGCCTCCCAAGAGCTAGGATTACAGGCGTGAGCCACAGCGCCCGGCCCTAGACCACCTGTTTTTAAAAGGAGGTGGTACAGGCTGGGCGTGGTGGCTCACGCCTGTAATCCTAGCTCTCTGGGAGGCCGAGGTGGACGGATTGTTTGAGTTCAGGAGTTCAAAACCAACCTGAGCAAGAGCGAGACCCCGTCTCTACTATAAATAGAAAGAAATTGGGCCGGGCGCGGTGGCTCACGCCTGTAATCCTAGCTCTCTGGGAGGCCGAGGCGGGCGGATTGCTCGAGGTCAGGAGTTCGAAACCAGCCTGAGCAAGAGCGAGACCCTGTCTCTACTATAAATAGAAAGAAATTAATTGGCCAACTAATATATATAGAAAAAATTAGCCAGGCATGGTGGCACATGCCTGTAGTCCCAGCTACTTGGGAGGCTGAGGCAGAAGGATCACTCTAGCCCAGGAGTTTGAGGTTGCTGTGAGCTAGGCTGACGCCAGGGCACTCACTCTAGCCCAGGCAACAAGGCAAGACTCTGTCTCAAAAAAAAAAAAAAAGAAAGAAAGAAATTAATTGGACAACTAATATATATGTAGAAAAAATTAGCCGGACATGGTGGCTCATGCCTGTAGTCCCAACTACTTGGGAGGCTGAGGCAGCAGGATTACTTGAGCCCAGGAGTTTGAGGTTGCTGTGAGCTAGGCTAACGCCACGGCACTCACTCTACCCTGGGCAACAAAGTGAGACTCTGTCTCAAAAAAAAAAAGGAGGTGGTACATTTGGGCCTGGGCAGGCTGACCTCCTAGCTTTCTGGGGTTCGCTCACTGGCTGCTGCGCGCTCCTCCCCAGGTCCTGAGAACTAGAGCGCCCACCTCACCTATGTTCTCCACGCCTCTGCCTGCTCTGTCACGACCTTCCTTCTTCTAGTCGATTATCCCCTGCTCTTATCTTACGTGCCACAGCCACTGTCCAGGCAACCTCATCTCCTGGAACTTCCACTAGCTCGCCAGCAGCTTTGTGGAAATTAGTTAAACGTGAGGCCCTCTGGGAAGGCAGCTCCATGTCAGGGGGCATCGCCTATTAGTTGAGAAGCCTGATTTCACCCCTGCACCCAGCCTCATTTGGTGCCCTTACAGAAGGTACAGCCTGTGTTGACCACATCTCACCTGTACCTCTAACTGGTCGGGCTCCACCTAACTGCCCGACTTCTGTCCTTGTGGAAGCTTGGTGGGGAAGGGAGACATTCTTAGTAATTATTCCCATTGTCATAAGTTTTACTTTGCAAGGCATGGCTACCTTTGTACGCCGAGATTAATGGTAGAGCTAAATGCTAGGACTGGACAGGATGGGTGAGGAAACTGAGGCTCAGAGAAGTAGTTTGCCAGAGGTCACAAGGCTAGGACAGTCCCTAGGACTTCCCACTCCCGGCCCGAGGTCCCCACTCTTCCCCTTACGAAGAGCTCGGCAGATGCTTTGTCCTGCTAGTCACCACGGGGAAGTTCAAATTGCTTGGAACATCACAAATTCCATTTAATTTTGTAATAAATTCCAAGCAAAATGCACACGGTGTTTCTGTCCATGTGCTACCGGTCAACAGTCTGCCCACACCTGGCAGCGGGGCCTGGTGGTGTAGCAGGAAGAGTTTGGGAACAGTGTCAAAGGCCTGGATGCTGCGTAACCTGGGCAAGTTGTCCTCCTGCCTGCAGCCCTGACAGGCCTGGTACGAATGATTTCAAAGCTCCTACAACCCTGCAAGGCAATGCTGTGTGCTTGTCCTGTAGCCCCCCTGCCTGGCTTGGTGGCTTCCCTGTAGACTTTGAATTTTTTTAAAAAATTTATTATTTAGCCGGGCATGGTGGCACATGCCTATAGTCCCAGCTACTCGGGGGGAGAAAGTAGGCTGAGGCAGGAGGATCACTTGAGCCCAGGAGTTTGAGGTTGCTGTGAGCTAGGATAACTCCATGGCACTGTAGCCTGGCAACAGAGTGAGACTCTGTCTAAAAAAAATTTAAAAATAAATAAATTTATTATTTTCTTAGAGACAGGGTCTTAATCTGCTGTCCAGGCTGGGGTGCAGTTGCACGATAAGCTCACTACAGCCTTGAACTCCTGGGCTCAAGCGATCCTCCTGCTTCAGCCTCCTGAGTAGCTGGGACTATAGGTGCACACCACCATACACAGCTAATTTATAAATTTTTTGTAGAGACAGAGTCTCATTATGTTGCCCAGACTAGTCTTGAACTCCTGGACTCAAGTGATCCTCCCTACTTGGCCTCCCTAAGTACTGAGATTACAGGTATGAGCCACTGTGCCCAGCCTTGATTTTGACCAGAACTTCTCTCTTCTCACTGTCTTCAAAAGTATTGCGTCGCCCCACTTACCTGAATCCTGGGTTTATTCAGCCAGCCCCACCTTCAATTCTTTAATTTATAATATGCCCCATGATGGCCGGGTGCAGTGGCTCATGCCTGTAATCCTAGCACTTTTGGAGGCCAAGACAAGAGGATTGCTTGAGCTCAAGAGTTTGAGACCTGTCTAGGCAACATAGCTAGCCCCTGACTCTACCAAAAAATACAAAAATTAGGCCAGGCATGGTGGTTCATGCCTATAATCCTAGCAATCCTAGCATGGGGAGGCCAAGGTGGGGAGGATTGCTTGAGCTCAGGAGTTCGAGACCAGGCTGAGCAAGAGCCAGACCCTGTCTCCACAAAAAATGGGAAAATTAGCCGGGTGTGGTGTTGTGTGCCTGTAGTCCCAGCTACTTGGGAGGCTGAGGCAGGAGGATGGCTTGAGCCCAGGAGTTTGAGGTTGCAGTGAGCTATGATGACACCACTGTCCTCTAGACTGGGCAACGAGCCAGACTCTGTCTCAAAACAAAAAAAAAGCCTATGATTAGGAGTCTAGGGAGGGCTGGCCCAAAGGTGCCCACACCTCCTCGGACTGACCCTTTTGTCTCCCCTACCCTGCCTCAGCAGAAAGCCCCACCCTCGGCTCAGGGAGCGCCATGACTGAAGTTGGCTGGTGGAAGCTGACCTTCCTCCGGAAAAAGAAATCCACTCCCAAGGTGCTGTACGAGATCCCTGACACCTATGCCCAAACGGAGGGAGGCACGGAACCCTCGGGGCCCGACACTAGCAGTCCCAACAGCAACTTTAACAGCCGCCTGGAGAAGATTGTGGACAAGAGCACAAAGGGCAAGCACGTCAAAGTCTCCAATTCAGGGCGCTTCAAGGAGAAAAGTAAAGTTCGAGCCACACTGGCGGAGAACCCCGGCCTCTTTGATGGCCGGGAGGGCAAAGGACAGTGAAGGGCTGAGGAGGATGCTAGCACCTCCTGGCTCCCTGCCATCAGCTGGATCTGAGACAGGAGCTTGCCACGCTGGCCTCATTGGTCACAGCTGAAGCCACTGTGGGGGCAGTTGACGCCTGCTGGGAGGAAATGTCTGGCTGTTAGGTTTGTATTTACATGCCTCACTTTTGTTAGGCCTGGGAGATCCAGGGTGCCCCGCCCTCCCCTGGCACATACGAAGGCACTCCAGTTTAAGGGTGAACGCTCCCACCTAGGAAGGACAGCCCTCCTTGAAGCAATGGCAGGGCTGCTGGGAGGTGGCCTTGGCAGGGAATGGAAAGAGGGAGCTGGACAGAGTCCACCTCCCCCCAGGCATAGGGTCAGGGGTGAGTTTGAATTGCCGCTCCCTCTACTTTCTCTACCTGTGTGACTGTTCCCTGGACCAATCCTGAGGAGAGTACATTTTCCAGAAGCCACGTGATGGGGGTGGTTTCTGTGGAACCAGAGGCAGAGACACTGAACTTAAGCTCATTTCCTAGCACAAGTGGTAAACTTCCTGGAACTTTGTCCCCAGGTATGGAGGAGGCAGAAGACCCTGGCACTCCATGGGGCGTGCCACAGAAGGCCAAGGGTCCAAACTGGGGGAGTGGGTGGGGAAGCTCTGGTAGGAGCTCAAAGCAGCCTCTCATTTCCCCTACTAGTATGTAACATGGATCAGCTCCAGAGATGAGTCCTGGGGCGTTGAATTTTGTCTAAGAAAAAATCATAGGTTTCTCCTCGTAATAAACAATGCTGCAAAAGCAGAGAACTTGTTTATATTCTTATCTTGCATTTATTGAGATGACTGTCATGCCTTTACCACCCTTCATGTGAATAAAGTGGGCCTCTGTGCTTGCACCATTCCTTTCAAGCTTCAGGGAGGGTCCCCAGGTGTGACAAGGTAGGAACTGGGTCACTAATTTCACCATCAAGCTAGCCTTAGTATGGGGGATCGGGGAACAGAGGAGCTAGTTACGCCTCAGTGGTCAGTTCTCTCTGGCCAGCCAAGAGGCCAACAGATGCTCTAAAAGATGGGGCAGACCTTTGGTGACTAACCCCAAAGTCAGGGTTTGGGTCAGGATGCATTCTGGCTTTACCCCTTAGTAGCTGGGTGATCCTGGGAACATTTTTAAGAAAACTGCTCTGAGTCTCATTTCCTCTTTTGTAAAAGGGGGCTGGAATAATGCCTATTTCATAGGGAGTGGTCAGCATTTTTTTTTTTTTTTTTTTGAGACTGTCTCACTTTGTTGCCCAGGCTAGAGTGAGTGCCGTGGCATCAGCCTGGCTCACAGCAACCTCAAACTCCTGGGCTCAGCGATCCTACTGCCTCAGCCTCCCGAGTAGCTGGGACTACAGGCATGCACCACCATGCCCGGTTAATTTTTTCTATATATTTTTCTTTGGCCAATTAATTTCTTTCTATTTTTGGTAGAGACGGGGTCTTGCTCAGGCTGGTTTCGAACTCCCGACCTCAAGCAATCCGCCCACCTCGGCCTCCCAGAGTGCTAGAATTATAGGCGTGAGCCACCGCGCCTGGCCTGGAGTGGTCAGTATTAAGTGGCCCATAGTAGGTGCTCAGTTAAATATTGGTTTTTTATAAAGAACTCTACCATACCTGATAGCTTCAGTTTAACACATTACCTGCCGCACAAAAACATCAGAAACGTTTCCTTGGGGCCACAGTGTTTTATTGTGAAAATAGAATTAAAACTTTGAGTGTAATTTAAAGGTAAACATAAATAGAAAAATGATATTGATATTTATTGGCTTCTATTCATTTAATCCACAGTTTTAGAATTAAATTGTCAATATTAATTGTAATAATAAAACATCAATAAGTAAGATTTTATATATGCTTCATGTGGCCCTGGGGTCAAAACTAGAATGAGTTAAAAACAACTGTCATGGCAGGTCGGGGTGGCTCACACCTGTAATCCTAGTACTCTGGGAGGCCGAGGGGGGGCGGATTGCTCAAGGTCAGGAGTTCGAAACCAGCCTGAGCAAGAGCGAGACCTCATCTCTACTATAAGTAGAAAGAAATTAATTGGCCAACTAATATATATAGAAAAAATGAGCCAGGCATGGTGGCACATGCCTGTAGTCCCAGCTACTCGGGAGGCTGAGGCAGCAGGATTGCTTGAGCCCAGGAGTTTGAGGTTGCTGTAAGCTAGGCCATGGCACTCACTCTAGCCTGGGCAACAAAGCGAGACTCTGTCTCAAAAAAAAAAAAAAAACAAAACACAACTGTCATGGCAGTTAATGTGTTAAGGAAGAGGCGTGAGCTCTGACATTAGGTCCAGCTCTTTCTGAAGCCACAAGATCTGGGAACTGGAAAAAACTGGCCAAATCTCTCTTTGGAGCTCGTGGTGGAAACACAGGGAGAGACCAAGGTGGCCACTAAACAATGTGGTCCTGCAGCTTCCAAGCCCGCTCCTTGCAGGCCGCTGGGCTACCCCACCCCAGGGAGCTGTTGCTCAGGGAATTTATTACCCAAACAGACCCATACAAGGGGGCCTTTGTTAGGTGCCTCACCCAGGCCAGGGGAACTCAGAGGTCGAGTGAGGGAGATCAGGAGCTACAGGGACAGAAGGCAGGCTCAGGGGTGCTGCCTTTCCCAAGGCCTCTTCCACCACCCCTCCCCACTACTCAGAACTTTCTAGGATCTCACCAATGACTCAATCCATAAAGCCTCCCGTGGAGGAGCTCAGACCTTCCCCACGCTCCCAGCCCTGCTCAGTGTTAACAGCTAACATTTATGGAGTGCTTCCAGCAGGTGGCCCTGGAACAAATATGCCCCAGCTTCCTCATTTAATCATCTCATCAGCTGAGACAGGTGCCAGCACTGTCCCCATTTTCCAGACAAGTTAGCTGAGACTTGGAGAGGTTAAAGCACTTGCCCTAGGTCCCCAGGCACTTGCAGTGGTGGAGCAGGGACTGAAGCCAGGGCTGGCCTGTGTGCGTGGCCACTGCCCCACACAGCCCTTCCATTCTTATTCTCTTCTGCTGAGGGACAGGAAATTGAGGCCCACAACAAAGAAAGTGGCACAGACACCTTCTGCAGAAGGGGAGGGAGGTAAGGAGGAGAGAGGGCAACGTCTGGGCCTCAGGATCCTGAGAGGTGACCATCATTCCCATGGGCTATACAGACGCTAACCAATGGGATTAAGCCAACCAGGATGTGTGCCCCATAAGGTCCTAGACTATAGGCACCTCCCACATCAGCCCGTTCTGGGGTTCCCTGAGGCAGAGGATGAAGATGGACCCTGGGCCACTGACCCAAGGTTCTACATGATACTGGCACTGTACTGCCACCTCCTCAAACATCACAATTACCTTTCTAAGTAAGAGTGTCAGAGGCCTGTGTCCCTTGCACAGCCACCCTGCTCCGCAGCCCCAGCGATCTCTACAGGGACATCCACATATACCCCTAAGCTGCAGGGCTGGGTGGATGGAGATCTGGCTGCCAGGGAGGCACAGTGAGGCAGCTGCAAGTTTCCACCACACAAGAGGAGGAACCGAGAGTGCAAATATGTACAGGACTGGGAAAGGCTACGGGTTATCGACCACAGTTTCACTGGGACTCGACCCAAGCTGGGGAAGGCGGGCAGGGGAGGCCGGCTGGAACTGGCCTCACTGCCCAGAGGGCCAACCCCGGGCAGCGGGCGCCCCCTGCTGGACACCCAGCCTAGCTGGTGGGAGAAGTGAGGTGGGAGGAAAGTTGCTTCAATTCCCCAACTCCCCTCCTTCCTAAGGGGAGGGGAGGGGGAGACAAGGCCAAGTTGAACATTAATATCACACATGGCTAACGGGCTTTTATTACAGACTTGGCACGGTGACAGAGGACTGAAAAGGTAACAGCTAAGACCAGGCTCAAAGCTGGGGGGATACTCAGCCCCCCATAACACAAGTGGGGTGCAGCATTTCTCCACCCATGGACACACACGTTTACTCCCAAAAGTCACAGCCTATAGCAGAACAAAAAGGGCAAGGCAGATGAGGGCACCCACTCCTGCAGGTGGCCACAGGTTAATGCGCCTTCCTGCACTCAGGCTTCAGGGGGCATCAACACAGGAGGGCTGCCCTTGGACGAGCCCTGCCAACAACAGGGACTGAAGCACACGCCCATACAGTGGAAGGAAGCACAGTTTACAGAGTTGCAAGTTCAATGCCAGCCAGTGCAAATAATAGTCATTCTCTGATCCTGGCTTAGTCACAGCAAACATTTACCCAGCCTGGCTCCTCTCTGTGACTATAGGCTGCTTGCTCATCCAGGCTGGCTCTGGTCAGCAGGCTGGTGCTCACGGAAAGCAAATTCAGTTCAGCACAAGACTCAACTGAGGGTTATTAAAGGGTCAAAGACTGTGAGGTGGGAGATTGTGGGTTTAGAGACTGAGGCCAGTACAACCAGGCCACCTGGGGGAGGGTCTTGTTAAAATGCAGAATCAGGTTCAGTGGGTCTGAGGTGAGCCCAAGAGTCTGCATCTCTAACAGGCTCCCAAGTGACGCTGATGCTACTGGCCCATGGATCACACTGGGTAGTAAGCAAGGATCTAGACAGACCAGTTCTCAACCTTGGCTGCACAGAATTCCCTGAGGAGCTGTTTCATTTCCTAATGCCCAGGCTGCATGCAGATCAGTTCAATCATCTCTGAGGGTAGGACCCAGGCAGCTGGATTTTTAAAGCTCCCCAGGTCATTCCAGTGTGGGTGACAACCAGTGATCTAGAAATCATTCTCAGTGGAGGTAGGGAATAGGGAAGGAAAGGTGTGAGCAGTCTGGAGAGTGTAATCTCTATAATAATTTAATTTTATATTTGGAAAATGAAATATGTGCATGTTTCCATAAACAAACATAGACATCAAAGCTTGATTAAAGGCCGGGCATGGTGACTCACGCCTGTAATCCTAGCACTCTGGGAGGCCGAGGCGGGCGGATTGCTTGAGGTCAGGAGTTCGAAACCAGCCTGAGCAAGAGCAAGACCCAGTCTCTACTATAAATAGAAAGAAATTAATTGGCCAACTAATATATATATATATATAGAATTAGCCGGGCATGGTGGCGCATGCCTGTAGTCCCAGCTACTTGGGAGGCTGAGGCAGCAGGATTGCTTGAGCCCAGGAGTTTGAGGTTGCTGTGAGCTAGGCTGACACCACAGCACTCACTCTAGTCTAGGCAACAAAGCGAGACTCTGTCTCAAAAAAAAATAAAAAAGCTTGATTAAAAACTTCCTGGCCTGTTGATACGGGCATATAAATCCTTTCTACAAAATTCCTGACTGACTGGGATTGAAAACGTCTAGTGACAGAACACTCCCTCTTAGGCAGGTTGGATTGTTTGAACACTTCCCCCATATTGAGATGAGACCTACTTCTCTGCAACTTTCACCTCTGGGTCCCTTGGAGCTACAGAGAATAAATTTAATCTCTTTTCCACATTGCTGTGCTTCAAATAATGGAAGGCAGCAATCAGTAAGGGAAATGCTGGGCAGCTCAGGGAATTACAACAGTAGCAGCCAGAGGCTGTTGCTTCTTCACTGTCATTAATGACTTGGCTACAATGACTCCCAAGGCTCTGGGTCTTGGCATTTCAAATTCCATTTTTTTTTAAGAGAGATGGGGTCTCACTATATTGTCCAGGCTGATTCTTGAACTCCTGGACTCAAGTGATCCTCCTGCCTGAGCCTCTCAAATGCTGGTACTATAGGTGTGAACCACCCACATGGCCAAATTTCAGATTATCAACAAAACAACCTGATTGGCTAGATTGGCTCAGGTGCCAACTGGGACCAATTGGCTTTGGCCAGTATGGCTCACATGGTAACAGACAGGGCTGCTGGTTCATTAGAAAGGAAGTTACACCAGCTGCTACCCATAGAGAGAGCAGGTCCAACAAATCATATGCAAGGTCAAGAAATAATTAGGGGATTATTTCCCATTTGAGATCCTCTGACACTGCTACACTCCACTTGACCAGCAAACTGAGAGCCAGCTAAGTACAGACATTTTGGAGGATGAGTTCTGAAGAATCCTAACTATAGGGGTGGGAGGGAAATGGGTTGAGTTTAGAAGGGCCTGGCTCCCAATCTCATACCCTCTCTCAGCACCCGGCCCCAGCTCCACCGTGGCAGATCCAGAGTCAAGGGGCAAGTCTCTCATAGAGCCAGTCTTCCTCCCCGCGGTGGGTCATGGGCCCCAGAGGGGAATCTCCTACAGAGAGGCCTCGCCGAAAGACGATGCGGTCGTGCAGGCGGTTGGTTTGGCCTTGCCAGAACTCCATCACCTGTGGGTACAGGATGTAGCCACCCCTGTAAAGAGAAGGAGAGGATTCAGCGCTCTGTGGCTTTTTCCAGCCAGGACAGTCTCCCATCCCTACCCCTCCTTCACCCCAGGGTCTCTTGAAGGAAGTTGCTGGGATGCATCTGCTGAGGATTGCAGGGAGGAGTAGATCTGTAATTCTATAGACAGGGTGGCTTTAGGTTCACCAGGGGTCCTGGTGTCCCTTTCCAGATGACCACCAAGTATCACTCACCAGTATTTTGGTTTAGGCACTTCTTGGTCTTGGTAGAGCTGCCCCAGTTCCTCATTTTTGTTTCTCAGATACTGTCCAGGGGAAAGAGATAGAGGAAGGGCCAGGCCCAGTCATTGGTTCATTTAAAAAGGACTTACTGAGCATGTGCACTGGGCCAGGTGCTGGGGACACAGGTGAGCAAGGAAGACTGGCCTCTGTCCCCTAGGAGCACACAGTCAATGGAAGGGTCAGGCAGGAGGCCTGTTTCCCCATTCCCCACCCTCACCTCCCCCAGGGAGATGGTCCTTTTCACATTTTTCACTTTGCTGGATAGAGCGCCCTGGCATCCCCTGGGGACAGCCTCTGGGGATGAGCCAAGGCCCCCGACACCTGAAGGACTACAGAGGAGCCCCACTCACCTCCCGATCAGGGATCACAGAACTCTGGTGACTGACCACAGCTCCAATCTGGCTGCTCTTGGGGCGAGAGTGGAAGTAGCACTCAGCCTCCTCCTCAGGCAGCTTCTTCACAGGGCCTTCCACACGCACCTGCTCAGGGAAGGCCCTGGCTGCACAGTGTCCAATGCCCCCTCCCTCTCAGCACAGGCCCCGTTCCTCTCTGTTGTTCTATCGACAGCTCTACCACTCCTGGCTCCAAATATAGATAGGCTAATTGAGAGCTATTTGAGAGGCAGAGTGCCCAGGTAGGATGTTTGCCCAGTTTGGAAACCTTACTAGGCTCATCCATAAACTCAGGCCCTGCAAACCCAGCCCACCCTGAGCTGTCCTGGCAAAGCTCACTCACCTGACGGTTAAGGGGCTCCCAGTAGAAGACAAGGGAAGCAAAGGGATTCGAGTCCTAGAAATGAAAGAGAATCCACAGACAGCCATCAGGACAGCAAGAGGATGCTGCTGCCAGCATGCAGGGGGAAGGCAGGAGGTCTGCAGCATACTGGCCCACAGCAGATGCATTCACTATAACATCTCATTCAAACCCCCAAAGGTAGGCCCACTGTCACCGATGTGGAGACAGGCTCAGAGAGGCTAAGTAACATGCTCAAGTTCACACAGTAAGTGGTAGAGCCCCTTAAGCTGGTCTGACACCAAAGTGAGGCTTGGCCATTTCTCCCACCCTTAGATTTTCAATCCCGATAAATGCATGTTTGGCTGGCATGGACTCAGGGAGGGTTACTCATTTTGGATTCATTCACTGAATGCACTCAAAGTGCCAACTCTGTGTCTGACACCAGGATAGGTGCCAGGGGTATATCTTGTAGCCTCTACTCCTACAGAGCTTACTGTTTAGCAAGGAGACAAACATCAGTCACATAATCACATAAATAAATGCACAGTTACAAACCAAAAAAAGAGCAAAAGCGAAAGTTACAAGTTATAATGACATCAAATAGCACCAGGGGCTGCTGACTCAGCATGAGAGTCAAGGAAGGCTTTTCTGAGGAGGTGACACGTGGGCTGAGGCCTGAAGGTGTCATTAGGTATCTATTAGACAGCTGCCAGGGGCAGTACTGGTAAGAAAGAGCATTTGTTCATGAAAAAGGCACGGGCAAGTGCACAGGCCGCAAGGCAGGAGGGCACCTGCAAACAGACAGCAGGTGGCCTGGGGCATGAAGTGGCAGGAGAAGGCCACTGAGGAGGCAAGGGCTGGGGCCCTGGAGGCCCCAGGAAGGATTGCTGTGAACCCTCACCAGCTCTTTTCCTTTTCGACTCTCGAAGTTAGTGAAGAAGCGGAAGCCATCCTTGCCAAAGCCCTTCAGCAGCAACATGCGGGCAGAGGGTTTTCCGTCCCTAGGGGTAAACAGCAGAGCACCATGGTCACGGCCCACCTCAGAGTCCTCGTAAGTTTCCCTTTCCTACAAGGGGTCTCAGCACCTCCCCCTGCTGTGTCCCTCTCATCTGGCTGTCAGGCTACCACTCCCATGTGCTCCTGGGGATTTGTCCTGTAGGTACAAGTATAACACCACTGCCAAGGGTCCTGCTATGGACTGAATTGTGACCTCCCAAACCCATATGTTGAAACCCTAACCCCCAATGTGACTGTATTTGGAGATAGGTCTCTTTGGGAGGTAATTAGGGTTAAATGAGGTTGTAAGGGTAGGGCCCTAATCCAACAGGACTGGTGTCCTTGCAAGAAGCAGAAGAGACACCACAGCTGTCTGCAAAGCCACTAAGGAGAGGCCTCGCCAGAAATCAACCCCGATGGCACCTAGATCTCAGACTTCTAGCCTCCAGGAACTGCAAGAAAACAAATTGCTGGGGGTTTTTTGTTGTTGTTTGTTTTGTGATAGAGTCTCACTCTGTTGCCCCAGGTAGAGTGCAGTGGCGTCATCGTAGCTCACAGCAACCTCAAACTCCAGGGCTCAAGTGATCCTCCAGACTCAGCCTCAGAAGTAGCTGGGACTACAGGTGCGTGCCAGAAAGCCAGGCTAATTTTTCTATTTTTAGTAGAAATAGGGTCTCACTCTGTTGCTCAGGCTGGTCTTGAACTCCTGAGCTCAAGCAATCCCCCCCGCCTTGGCATCCCAGAGTGCTAGGATTGCAAGCATGAACCACCTTGTCCAGCCAAACTCCTGTTGTTTAACCTACCCAGTCTATGGCTGGGCGCCGTGGCTCATGCCTATAATCCTAGTACTCTGGGAGGCCAAGGTGGGCGGATCATTTGAGCTCAGGAGTTCGAGACCAGCCTGAGCAAGAGTGAGACCCTGTTGCTACTAAAAATGGAAAGAAATTAATTGGCCAATTAAAAACATATAGAAAAATTAGCCAGGCATGGTGGTACATGCCTGTAGTCCCAGCTACTCAGGAGGCTGAGTCAGGAGGATTGCTTGAGCCCAGGAGTTTGAGGTTGCTGTGAGCTAGGCTGATGCCACGGCACTCTAGCCCAGGAAACAGAGTGAGACTCTATATAAAAAAAAAAGCTACCCAGTGTATAGGATTTCTTTATGGCAGCCCTAGGAAACTAATAAGGCCCTAATGACAAGGACCAACAATAATGCAATCATTCTGCTTAGTGATCACAGAGGTGCTCTCATATCAGCTTATCTGCTCAGAGTTTGGGGATACCCACGGGCACAGTACAAGAGCCCTGCCTTCAAATGAGCAGTGACAAGAAGAGTTGAAATCGGCCAGGCGCGGTGGCTCACGCCTGTAATCCTAGCACTCTGGGAGGCCGAGGCAGGCGGATTGCTCGAGGTCAGGAGTTCTAAACCAGCCTGAGCAAGAGTGAGACCCCGTCTCTACTATAAATAGAAAGAAATTAATTGGCCAACTAATATATAGAGAAAAAATTAGCCGGGCATGGTGGCACATGCCTGTAGTCCCAGCTACTTGGGAGGCTGAGGCAGCAGGATTGCTTGAGCCCAGGAGTTTGAGACTGCTGTGAGCTAGGCTGATGTGGGGCACTCACTCTAGCCTAGGCAACAAAGCGAGACTTTGTCTCAAAAAAAAAAAAAAAAAAAAAAGAAGAGTTGAATAAAGGCTAATATGAGAGTATCTCAAAGGGCATGATTGTCAAATGAATGATATAGCCAAGCACTGTGCTAGATTTCCAGAGGACAGCTTCATGAAGAGATCCTAGGAGAAATAGCTGCTGAAGGGCAGATAGGGCTTGGATAGATGGGAAGATGAAGCAGGCAAGGGTTGTGTGTGGGTATATCAAGGGCAGAGATGAACAAGGCACTGTATTCTATCACTGAAATGGAACTTAGTAGTCTGGTCTTTGGTTTATAGGAAAGGACACTGAGGCCCAGAGAGGACAAGTACCTTGCCTGAAGCCACATAGCATGTTAATAACAGAGCTGGGCCAGGCGAGGTGGCTCACTCCTATAATCCTAGCACTCTGGGAGGCCGAGGCGGGCGGATTGCTGGAGGTCAAGAGTTTGAAACCAGCCTGAGCAAGAGCGAGACCCCATCTCTACTATAAATAGAAAGAAATTAATTGGCCAACTAATATATATATATAAAATGAGCCAGGCATGGTGGCGCATGCCTGTAGTCCCAGCTATTCGGGAGGGTGAGGCAGCAGGATTGCTTGAGCCCAGGAGTTTGAGGTTGCTGTCAGCTAGGCTGATGCCACAGCACTCACTCTAGCATTGGCAACAAAGTGAGACTCTGTCTCAAAATAAATAAATAAATAAATAAATAAATAAATAAATAAATAAATAAATAAATAAATAAATAACAGGGCTGGAAACATAACATTGGCATACATCGGGTTGAGAGCTTCCTAAGTTTGCTACTTCATCTGTACCCACCCACCCTGTACCACCCAGGGATACCTTGGCTATGCTCACCTGGTACAGGTAGCCAGACACATGGCATTGGCTTCCCCTATGTCAGGACACTGAACAGCCTCCTCAAACCAGACAGCAAACTGCTTCATTGGGTCCAGGGAGGTCAGATGAGCTTCCTCAAATGCCTGGGAAGGGAGTTTTACTGCATTTAATAAACACTTATAGTGCTACTATATACCTGGTACTTTTCAAATAGTAACTCATTTTGTCCCATAACAATGACCTCATAATAAAAAACAGTTCCTAGGAAGTAGATTCTGTGCCCCATTTTACAAGTGAGGAAACAGGCATAAAAAGGTCAAACATGGAATTAATGGTGACTTGTGAAAAAAAAAAAGGTCAAATAACATGCCCAGTCCTAAATCTAGTAATGGATGAATCAGGGTTTTATGTCATGGGTGTCAAACCTATCCGTTTATCAGAATCAACTGGGAAGCCTTAAAAAAAAAAAAAAGAGGCTCTTGGGTTCCACTCCCATAATTTCTCATTCAGTAGGTCTGAGGTTTAATGATAAATGGCAGTTGCTTTTTTTTTTGAGACAGAGTCTCGCTTTGTTGCCCAGGCTAGAGTGAGTGCCCTGGCGTCAGTCTAACCCACAGCAACCTCAGTCTCCTGGGCTCAAGCAATCCTTCTGTCTCAGCTTCCCGAGTAGCTGGGACTACAGGCATGTGCCACCATGCCCGGCTAACTTTTTCTATATATATATTAGTTGTCCAATTAATTTCTTTCTATTTATAGTAGAGACGGGTCTCGCTCCTGCTCAGGCTGGTTTCAAACTCCTGACCTTGAGCGATCGATCCACCCAAGCCGCCTCGGCCTTCCAGAGAGCTAGGATTACCGGCATGAGCCACGGCGCCGGGCTGATAAATAGCATTTTAAACAAGCATTTCTGGAAATGCTCACATGCAACCAGATTTGGTAACCATGGCTCTGGACTCCAATTTCAAAACCACTCCTTTGGTTCCTATGCTAAGGAGGGAAAGGAAAAGAATTTCCAAGTGATGAGTAGAAGGTACTGAAGGCAGTAGCTAAGAGCTTTCTCCTCTCCTTCTCTCTGATCTATGCCCCCTTCCCCATATTCCATTTTTTTATTTATCAAACTTTTGGTAAGCTGTTTATCACTATTCTAAGCACTTTACAAACATCTAAGTCCATAACATCCCTATGAGGCACGTGCTAGCACTTTACAGATGAGGAAACCGAGGCCCAGAGAGGTTAAGGCAGGCTCCAGAGTTTGTGCTCTTAGCGACTAGGACAAGCTGCCTCTTGAACCCATCTTCACGTTCCCCCAGAACCCCTTCCCTAGTGGTTGTCTTTTTGAATACCCCTTCTCCCATGGGGGTGGCCCCAGGAGCCCCGTGGGGCTACTGCAACGCCCTTCGCCTCCGCAGATGACTCGGGCACCCCCTTTCCCCCGTCCCCTGCAGGGGGCCCTGTCCGGGCGGCGGCAGCACCTCTCGGTCCCCGCGGTAACTCTTGCGCATGGGTCCCAGGTCCATGGCAGCACCGCGACCACACAGGCGGTGGAGGTAGCCTGGCCACTGGGAAGGTCGCCCGAACGTCGCGGCGACGCCCCGCAGCCCCCACGTCATGGAGGCCGCCGGCCACGTGATCTGGCGTTTCCTGGCCCTGGGTTCCGCTGGGTTCGGAACCAATTTCTCAGCCCAGGCGTCTACACCGCGGAAGGAAGTATTTGCAAGTCGCCCAGCCAACCTAACAGGTCCCAAGTCCTCGGAGCCAATGGGACTCCAGGATCGGAGGAGGGAGACAGACGCGGAGAGGTCATTGGTTCGAGTTTACCAGGCGCGAGGCCAATTAGAGCGAGAACAGAGAAACTCAGCAGCCAATGAGCAGCGTCTCCGGGGGCGGGAGCAGAGAGACAAGGAAACGCTGTCACCGCCGTTGACACGCACGTGGAGCTTGGTTAAAGGTATAGGGACTGCTGCAGCTCAGGCGGGGCCGGGAGGATGACCCCCTGAGGGCTTCAGGGGAGTGGTCAGTATTAAGAGCCTGGCCCACAGGAGATGCCCGAAGGCGAGCTTAGTGCAGGAAGTACGCCCTGGGAGGGGAGGCTAGTGGACTGGGAAAGGAAAAATGGAATTACCAGCCAAACTCCGAAGCAAGATTATGGGAACACAGAAGGAAAGGGGCGATCTTGTTGGGAGAAGAAATTGGGGCTTGAGAGTGGGAGAGGTAGAAGTGACTTGTGGACCATGCGAGATAGGTACTGTGTAGTGGGGGGTAGGGAGTGGTACTCTGGGGAGTGGGGAGGTGCTGGGGTCAGGAATGACTGTGGAGTGAGGAGGAGGATGGCTTAATAGGAAGAAGGAAATTGGATCAAATCATCGCAGACCAGAGTGGGTCTTCCTCTTCTAGCTCTGAACCCCCTCCCTCCAGCCTCATTTCTTTAAATGGGGGTCAGAGCATACTGCTCCCTTTGTTCACAGTGCACTGGAGTTCACACTAGCCAGACCAATAGAAGATGGAAAGGCTGCACTCTCCCAGGCCTCCTCATCTCTGCCAACTTTCCCCTTTTTCACGTTTTGCCCATCCTAGGTAGTAGGAGTTTAGTCCCTAGGTCAATGCCAGTAATAGACAACTGAGGGTAGAGGGCAGCAGGTGGCTGTGTAAAAACCACTTCCATGCTGTGGATGCAGGGCTGAGAAATGGGAAACCTGCCAGTGCCCTATCCAGCTTTGACCTGACTGAGGCAGACTTGGGTTGAGGCCTCTCTATAGCCCTGGTTTCCACCAACATCAGGAAGGGGAGTGAGGAGCCACCTAGGCAGGCACCCAGGACTGTGCAAGGTAAGGGGAACTTCTTGCCCAGGTGCCTGCATTACAGCTGAGCTTCATAAAGCCCTACATTAGGTACCTATCATACTTTATTATGTGTGTAGCTTGAACCATATAGAATCTGGAAGACAAATTTGCTGCAAAGAAATAATACATGTCTCAAGGCTTAATGATCTTGGCCTATAGGATTCTCCACTGGTTGGAATTTTTTGTGCCACCATTGTTTTCCTCCATCAGCATAGTTGAGGGAGAGTTGACTGGATTTTCTTTCTTTTTTATTTATTTATTTTTGAGACAGAGTCTTGCTTTGTTGCTCAGGCTAGAGTGAGTGCCATGGCGTCAGCTTAGCTTACAGCAACCTCAAACTCCTGGGCTCAAGCAATCCTGCTGCCTCAGCCTCCTGAGTAGCTGGGACTACAGGCATATGCCACCATGCCCGGCTCATTTTTTCTATATACATTAGTTGACCAATTAATTTCTTTCTATTTATAGTAGAGACAGGGTCTTGCTCTTGCTCAGGCTGGTTTCGAACTCTTGACCTCGAGCAATTCGCCCGCCTCCTCAGCCTCTCAGAGTGCTAGGATTACAGGCGTGAGCTACCACGCCTGGCCTGGATTTTCTTGTCCAGGTTGTCTTTCCATGTATGAACATTGCTGTCCTCTCCTCCTCCCAAGCCCCTATAGTTGAACCTGTATAAGCAGTAATTAGTGCCCTTTAACTCAAACAGTTTTGTTCATTGGGCCACACTTTTTTAGCACTCCTGGGCTGCTGCTATCCTGGATCTGGATTCTAGGGCATCAAGACTAAAATCTTTACATAGTTTGCTTAAAAGCCAAGAACTCAGTAGATAACATATTCATGTATTCCTTCAGTAAACATTCGTGGGTCTTTTTTTTTTTTGAGACAGAATCGTGCTCTGTTTCCTGGGCTAGAGTGCTGTGGTGTCAGCCTAGCTCCCAGCAACGTCAAACTCCTGGGCTCAAGTGAGCCTCCTACCTCAGCCTCCCGAGTAGCTGGTAGCTGGGACTGCAGGCATGCGCTACCATGCTCAGCTAAATATATATATATATATATATTTTAGTTGTCCAGCTAATTTCTTTCTACTTTTTTAGTAGAGATGGAGTCTTGCTCTTGCTCATGCTGGTCTTGAACTCCTGAGCTCAAGTGATCCTCCTACCTGGCCTCCCAGAGTGCTAGGATTACAGCATGAGCCACCGGGCCGGCCAGTAGACATTTGTTAATGACTTCTTTGGACCAGGCACTGAACTAGGTCTGAGAGTGCTAAAATGAAGATGACAACATGATTCCTACCCACAAGGGGCTTGTAGTCTATAGGGGGAGGCAGATTTGTTGGCTAAAGAGTTTTAGGTACTTTAACAGATGTTTCTACAAAGTAAAGCGCAAAAAGGAGAGTCAAACAGTCTGGAAAGGCTTTGTAAAGGGAGCAGACATTTGATTTGTCTTAATGAGTATTTGCCCGACAGATAAAGGACAGGCATTCCAGGAAGAAGGAACATTGTGAGTAAGGGCACGGTGTCCTTGGGGAGCTTGGAGTAGTGTGGCATTGCTGGAGGGAAGGTGGTGAGGAAACGAGCCAGACAAGCAGCCAGGGGCTGGGTGCTCCTTGCCGAAGAGTCATTGTGCAGGTGGCGAGGGTGAAGCTTTTAGACACAACCGTTCTCATTTTTTATCCTGTGATATTATTGACCCAGAGGCTGGGCACCATGGTTCATCCCTGTAATCCTAGCACTTTGGGAGGCCAGGGTGGGAGGATCACTTGAAGTCAGAAGTTCGAGAGAGCCAGGGAAACATAGCAAGACTTTGTCTCTACAAAAAGAAAAAAAGATATATAATTGAACCAGAGTGTCTAGTTCTTGTTTCTTCTTTAAGACCAAATGGGGGCTGGGCGTGGTGGCTCACACCTGTAATCCTAGCAGTCTGGGAGGCCGAGGCGGGCGGATTGCTCGAGGTCAGGAGTTCGAAACCAGCCTGAGCAAGAGCGAGACCCTGTGTCTACTGTAAATAGAAAGAAATTAATTGGCCAACTAATATATATAGAAAAAATTAGCTGGGCATGGTAGTGCATGCCTGTAGTCCCAGCTACTTGGGAGGCTAAGGCAGAAGGATCGCTTGAGCCCAGGAGTTTGAGGTTACTGTGAGCTAGACTGACACCACGACACTCACTCTAGCCTGGGCAACAAAGTGAGACTCTGTCTCAAAAAAAAAAAAAAAAAAAAAGTGGAGGAGGGGGGATGGGCAATATAAATAATCTTAACACTTGTACCCCCATAATATGCTAAAAAAAAAAAGACCAAATGGGGAGAAAAAAAAAGGTGCTGGATTCTGACAGCCTTCCTTGCCTTTCCTTGGTGATTAGCACAAAGTTTGCAACTTTTTATGTTTTTCCCTTTGTCTTGAAGATAATAAGTAGGCTTGTGTTGTGCTTTTCTGCTTAGCGGGATTTGGTGTCTGGATCACAAAGCAGCCCCACAGCGTGTATCCAGAGGGGGACGGAGCCTGTTGCTGCTGCTGCTACTGAGGCACCCGCCAGCAGGAGCTTTCTGAGTGGGAGAAATGAATTTTTTACTATTTCTGTTTTTTCTTAAACACTGCCACCCTCCCCCCCAACTTTGTAAAATTATTAATTTTTTCTTGAGAAAGTCTTAAGTGAATAGAAAATACATTGCAAAATTTTATTGTACAGAGAGGCATGCTGGTTTCTCAGTATGAAACAAAAAAACTTCGTGTGTAATTGGGAACTATTCCTTGCCTGTTTTCTTCTAATGCTTTTGCCTTTATTTCTTTTTTTTTTTTTTTGAGACAGAGTCTCACTTTGTTGTCCAGGCTAGAGTGAGTGCCGTGGCGTCAGCCTGGCTCACAGCAACCTCAATCTCCAGGGCTCAGCGATCCTTCTGCCTCAGCCTCCCGAGTAGCTGGGACTACAGGCATGCGCCACTATGCCCGGCTAATTTTTTGTATATATATTTTTAGTTGGTCAATTAATTTCTTTCTATTTTTGGTAGAGACGGGGTCTCGCTCAGGCTGGTTTTGAACTCCTGACCTTGAGCAATCCGCCCGCCTCGGCCTCCCAAAGTGCTAGGATTACAGGCGTGAGCCACCGCGCCCGGCCGTATTTCTTAAACCACCTTTTTTTCTCATGGTCTGATTGAATTATGCATTTCAGTTTTATTTTGGTGATTGGATTTGTGCTTTGGAATCTTGCTCTGGTGACCAAGTAGATGATGGATATGGGAGGGAATCGCTGAGGTTGTCTGAGTTAGAGCCGGGATCCTGATGCATGAGTCTGCGATGGGGGGTGTGGAGAGGAGAGAGTGACCCACCTGGTTTTAGGTGACATGGGTGGGGCTGTTCATTGAAGTGGTTCATTGGAAAGGAGGTTTGGGAGAAAGATGAATTCATTAGCATGCGACACCCACCTTTGGTCAGGTTGGATAATTGAGTCCAGACCTTAGGGGAGAGGTCTGGGCTGATGACAGTGGTTTACTTATCATGAGCCTCTAAGGTGGCACTTGGGTGTCTGAGAAAGGAAGAGACCAAAGGAAGAGGGGAGTTAAGTGGGGAAGGCAAGAGGTAGAGGAAGAGTGGCAATGGCGCTGGTGAATTATAGTGCCCAGCTTTCCAGGAGGCAAGAGGAGGGTCTACAGCAGGTCAGAGGGATGTGCTGGGGGGCTGGAAGCTCAGGAATTCTTGGGCTAGCCTTGGGACAACCTCAGCTTGGAGCCCCAGGCATAGCAACAGCAGGACACGGAAGGGTGGGTGCTCAGTGCTCTAGGAGCAGATGCCTGAGCCCTGAGTAGGTTGTCAGACGGCCCAGAGGAGGGCTGAGTCCTCAGAGGCTTGTGGTCCATCAGAGGAGGCTGAACCTCATCTGTGTCCTGCCTGTGGTGCTTTAGTGGTTAACCCCTTATATGGTCTAATAGGGGATACTCGTGGCTGGTATGGGAGCGCCTTCATGGGAAGGACCATGAATCTTACCTTCTCTGGCTCTTTCTCAAAATCCCAACCAATAGGGAGTGCTCAGGAAATGCTAATCTGTAATATTTATTCATAAACCACTTTTGTTAAGCTTTCCATAGTATGGGTGCTAGGCATGGTGAGTGGGGCTTGGGTTTTTCGGGATTTTTGAGCTTACTGGGAGCAGGGCTAAGTGTGTTTGCTTACTGGAGGCATGTTAAGCTTTCACAGGCCAAGTGAATTAAATTAGTCTCAGTGCCCCCGGCTGGCTGCCTAAGTGATTAGAATATGGGCCACCAGCAGTGGGAGGAGGCCTGGTGGCGGGTTCTCAGGCAGGCGGAAGGATGTGGCCTGGTGGCTTCCTTGTTTCTTTTGAGAAATCCTGGTCGGTCCTTGTGTCTGGCCTGCCCTGTGGTCGGTTCTCATCTCCTCTTGCCTAAGATCCCTAAGAGCAGGTATTTGACCCTCCTCTCCAAGCCCCAAGTTGCTACCCTAGCCCACCATGGTCTGCTTCCTTTTCACAGCCCTGCTTATTATGAGACAGAGTCTCGCTTTGTTGCCCGGGCTAGAGTGCCATGGCATTAGCCTAGCTCACAGCAACCTCAATCTCCTGGGCTCAAGTGATCCTTCTGCCTCAGCCTCCCAAGTAGCTGGGACTACAGGCACGCGCCACCATGCCCGGCTAATTTTTTCTATTTTTAGTAGAGATGGGGTCTCACTCTTGCTCAGGCTGCATTTCTTGACTTAATTATTTTTTATTTTGAAGCAATTTTAGACTTCAAGAGAAGTTGCAGATAAAGTACAAAGATTTCCTGCACACCCTTCACACAGCTTCCCCTACTGTTAAGATCTTACTACCATAGCATAAGTAGCAAAATCAAGACATTAACATTGGCACACTACTATTAATTAAACCACAGGCTTTATGCGAATTTCACCTCCCACTAATGTCCTTTTTCTGTTCTGGGATCCAATCCCATTGCATTTAGAGGTCACATCCCCTTAGTCTCCATTCTGTGACAGTTCTCTGTCTCTTAGCTGTTTTGTGTAGTCTGCCCAGCTGGTGTGGGAGATAGAGGGGCCCACACCACTTTGGGAAAGATGTGGCAAAGCTGGTTTCGGAGATAGGACAAGAGATAGGGGTGGGGTGGCCGGGGGCAGGGTGAATTTTCCTAGGGCAGTGTATACGGTGAAACTTGTGCCATATTCCCTTTTGCCTGGGGTAAAGGAGGATTCTGATGACCTGATGTGTGTGTGTGTGTGTGTGTGTGTGTGTGTGTTCCCAGCCCCCTTTCCCACCATCACCTGGGAGCCCAGGGTGTCCTCTGAGGAGATATCCCAGTCATCACCAGTCCATACACTGTGGGCCAGCCTCCCCAAAGGCTCCCTGGCATGGGTCAGGTGGCCGTGCTGTACTGAGACCATCTGTTCATGGGAGGATAATGTAGAGGACACACTGCCTGATGGGCCCCTGGTATGGGCATTGCTGGTGGGCCTCAAAGAGCTGGTGGTAGTGGAGGGTAGATCTAGTCCCCTCTGACTCTGGGGCCCCAGGGCTGGGGGAGGGGATGTGCCTATGCTTGATGAACATCATGGCTGAGCTCCTAAGACTGGAAATCAGGAAGACAGACAGTGTCAAGCTTCAGGGGCGGTTGGGGGCTAGGGGGCAGGTGGGTGGGCAGATGAATGACTGGGCCCTCTTTCCAACCTGCAAAAGAACAGTAGGCCTAAGGTAGAGCTGGTCCCTAACTCAGGGGCCTATATCATGTAATCAAAGCCTGCTGAACTGACACAGATGTCACCTGACAAGCCCAGGCTGATGACTCGGTGGATGCTCCAGAGCTTCTTCTCCAGGGGGTCTGCGGCCTGCTCTCTGGGAGGCCTCCTAGCACTCTGGGAGGCTGAGGCGGGAGGATCACTCAACATCAGGAGTTCGAAACCAGCCTGAGCAGGAGTGAGACCCTGTCTCTACTAAAAATAGAAAGAAATTAATTGGCCAACTAAAAATATATAGAAAAAATTAGCCAGACATGGTGGCACATGCCTGTAGTCCCACCTACTCAGGAGGCTGAGTCAGGAGGATTGCTTGAGCCCAGGAGTTCGAGGTTGCTGTGAGCTAGGCTGATGTCATAGCACTCTAACCTGGGCAACAGAGTGAGGGACTCTGTCTCAAAAAAACCCAAAAAAACAAAACCAAGTTTCCCTCCTCATCCGTCAGGCACTAGCGTTGCAGTGGGCTAGTGTTTAATCAAAAGGCTTGCTGGTGTCTACCTTGAAGCTAGAGAGAAGGGGGCCCGAATGGTCGTTGGGGTTGAGGTGAGCCCCAGGAGGAAGGGCTGACTAGCAGAGCTCTGAATCACCATTGAGGGAGGAAGGGGAGGGGTCTTAGACCTCTGCTCAGGAAGGTTCTAGTGGTGAAGGAACTGAGAATAGACTGGGACTTAGGAGGCAGAGAAGATGGCTTCGTTTTTACTCAGAATTGAAATAATCCACAGCTTAACTTCTTTGGCTCAATTTCTGAGCATGGCAGACGCAGCTTCAAAGGAGTTTCAGGTTTGTTTGGGTGGTAGGAAGACTCAAATTAGGATCAAAAATGCTCTATTTGGCCAGGTGTGGTGGCTTAGGCCTGTACTCCTAACACTTTGGGAGGCTGAGGTGAGAGTATTGCTTGAGCTCAGGAGTTCGAGACCAGCCTGAGCAAGAGTGAGACCCTCGTCTCTACTAAAAATAGAAAAATTAGCCAGGTGTGGTATTGTATGCCTGTAGTCCCAGCTACTGGGGAGGCTGAGGCAGGAGGATCACTTGAGCCCAGGAGTTTGAGGTTGCTGTGAGCTAGGCTGATGCCATAGCACTCTAGCCCGGGCAACAAAGCGAGACTCTGTCTCAAAAAAAAAAAAAAAGGCCGGGCACGGTGGCTCACGCCTGTAATCCTAGCTCTCTGGGAGGCCGAGGCGGGCAGATTGCTCGAGGTCGGGAGTTCAAAACCAGCCTGAGCAAGAGCGAGACCCCGTCTCTACTATAAATAGAAAGAAACTAATTGGCCAACTAATATATATAGAAAAAATTAGCCGGGCATGGTGGCACATGCCTGTAGTCCCAGCTACTTGGGAGGCTGAGACAGAATGATCGCTTGAGCCCAGGAGTCTGAGGTTGCTGTGAGCTAGGCTGACGCCACGGCACTCACTCTAGCCTAGGCAACAAAGTGACACTCTGTCTCAAAAAAAAAAAAAAGAAAAAAAAGAAACAAAAGAAAAACTCCCCATTCTCTGCCACTTGGATCAAGACAGCTGCATCCACTCAGGGGTCCTACCCACCACTCAGGGCTTGGGGCTAGGTCTGAACCCTTCTCTTTCCTCATTCTGCCTTCCTCAACATATGTCACCAAGGCATGTGGCTGGCTCTAACTTCAGAACTGTCATCAAACAAGTGTGGGGCCTCACAGGATGATCAAAAGATAATTGTAAAGATGAACTGAGTGGTTTGAAGGAAGGGTGAGCCCTCTTTGATGGTTTGGTTTAAAAAGCAATGTACATATTGTGCCTGGATTGGCCTTTGTGGGGGAGTCCTTCCCAGCCCCGTTTTCTTTCAGGCATGGAACCCTAATGTCTGGGATAATAAGCCACAGAGCTGAGTGTCAGCTGGGCAGAGAGGAGGGGCATGAGAGGCGGCCTTTGGCATAGATGACCTTGAGGAAAGAAGAGGGCAGAGGAGGAACCACAGGTGTGAGGCCCCCACCCTCGAGCTGCTGGGTGTAGCCTGTCCCCAGATTTTCATTAAGGGCCCATTGGGATCAGGTGTCGTGGAGCCCTCTTGCCTACTGGGAGCTTGGGCTGTGTCACTCCCTCAACGGTTCTCACCCGATGCAACTCTCAAAGAAAGGGTGGATTAAAGCCAGATGAGGGCTAATTTGCCACGAGATCTTTCTGTGCTTTCCCCGTGCCATCACTCGCCTGGGTGGAAGACATTCTCACGCTCCTTAACTCAGGCATCTCTTGGGACGCAGAGATGGCCTGGCATAACTTCTGACCCGTGTCTCACTGAAGAAGGGAACTTCTGTCCCAGCATGCACATTCTGCCCACCTGGGGCCGGCACCTTCCCTTCCCGACGACAATGCCAAGGAGTCAGGTCAGTTTCTGCACTTACAGCATAAAGCACATGATTTGGAATCAGCTCCCAGGAAAGGATCATTCTTTGTGCCTGAGAGCAAAGCCAAGGGAAACATGTGGCAGAAAGAGGTCAGTTTGTTAATGGTCCCCTTCTCTCCACCAATCCCCTTATTCAGAACGCAGCAAGGCAGTTCTCCAGTTGTGTAATCCACCCATGAAGAGATAAATACACCTCACGTCTTCCCCCTGCTGCCACCGCAGCGATGAGATGCAGGGCTGAGGGGATGAGGAAGAGGCTCCTGGGCCAGGGTAGATTCAGCTGGTCTGGTATTGCCCTCAGGGCTTAAGTGTGGGTAAGAAGGGTCCTCTGCCTGTCGACAAAGTGGTCAAGGGCAGAGAACCTGGATCCATTTGAGATCTGTGTCCTTTTTACTTTTTCAGCTGTGTGAGGGGCCACTGCTCTAAGGAAAGGCTGTTTGCTAGGAGCTGCAGGTGGCTGGTGACAAAGCAAACAGCAATGGAATGGATAGATCAAAACAAGTCTCACCACTGCTGAACAGAACGGCGATCCCGGCTGCGTCCTTTTGAGGGTGAGTAAAAAGCATGTGCTGTTCTACATGCTCTCCCCTCAGCCCGGATGCTCTTTAGGCCCCCTCGAGACTTAAAACACATGTACTGAGCTAGCTCCAATCTTAATTTGTATTACATCACAACCTGAATTGCTATTAGTTTTGGGGAAAAAAAAATTATCATCCCCACCAAACTTTTAGATCTACAGCACTTGCTAAAACCAAAAGGTGCATTCAACTTGCTGCCTTCCCTGGGGTGCTGGGCAGGGGATAGAAAGAACCAGAATCTGGCCGGGATGCTCTCTTGGGTGGAGGTGGGCTTCCAGGCCTCTAGCTGCCTTGCCCTCCGCCTTGGCCAGGCCCTTGGCCCTTGGGGAACTGCATTTTTGCCAGACTCTACCCTTCTGGAAGGGACTGAGCCATAGGCCCTTTGGCTCTTCTCTCCAGGCTTCTTATTAATGGGCTCTGAGGCCAAAGCCTTCCTCTAGGGGTTGAAGAAATGAGTGGAGGAGTTGGCTTCCTGGTTAAGGAAGTCATTGCTGTGACTTGACTCTGCGGTATCCGCTTTGTGGTATGACCAAAACTGGCTTATAGAAGAAAAATGCAGAAACACCTGCATTGGGCCCTTGCCTCTGGAGGTGCTCTGGGGGCTTGTGCCAGTGCCATGTCATGTGGCTGCAGCCCCTTGCAGGCTGTGGCCTGGACTTGCCAGGGGTCAGGAGAGCACAGTCCTATCTTGGTCCCAGTGTGGATGGCTCTGAGAGACCCTGGCTTCCTCCTCTGAGCTCTCCAAGATAAAAAACCAAGGAAGCCAAATTGCCAAATTGCAGGTTTTGCCTCAGGCAACTAAATTTATTAGCAAGAAAAAATTTTTGTCAGCCCACTGCTGACCAACAAAGTACATCGTTAATAAAGGATAACAAATCTGTCACTTAATTCATAAAACATACCTCAAGCAGTTACAACTAAAAATAAAGTTGGATTTTTGTTTAATTTAAAAGCCTCAAAAATAACAAGCAATATGTTTTTTAAACATGTAGTAGACACAATTGTCTATTATACAATATACACTGTACACAAGTAGAGCTTGGGCCGGGCAGGCGGGTGAGATGAGAGGGAGAGAGAGGGGGTTCAGATGTGAAGGTGTGTTCCTCTGAATCCAGATTTGGGTTGAAGTGCTGTGTCATTTAGAAAAGAGAATTGCTAGAGTAAGGAAAAGAATTCATATGCTCATCATTGCCCCCCAAAACCCTCAACTGAAAGCAGGCGTCGGGGAGGTGAACAATAAGGAAAGGAAGAAAGGAGCAATTAAATAAAACTTCTTTAAAGCACACACAATACACAGTGTTCATCATCTGAAGTAGAGAGTATAAGGCAACGTTCTCCATAGAAAAAGAGGGGAGTTGGAGGAGGGGGGGTATCTTGACTTGTTAATAGAAAGTTGGAATGTGCTGGAGGAGAGCTGTGGCAGGGCTGGGGCACATGGAGTGGAGGTGGCCTGCTGAGCCCCTCCAGAAGTGGGTGCGGGTGGGGCAGGGCCCCCGCACATCCAGAGTGACTAGTGGGACTAGGGGGGCATGGGAGATGGGGTCATGGCACGATGCGACTCCGGCAGTGTAGGGAGTGGGGCGTGGGGCGGGGCGGGGGCTCACTTTGCTCCTCGACGGAGTGAAATGCATGTTTTTCCTTTGGAAATAAAGGTTCCCACGCGTCCTGGTTTAGAACGTCTCATTGGGCATGGCCAGTGTCCACAGTCTGGGCAGGCCGGGAGCTCGTGTTGAGAGGGGAAGGGCCAGGGCAGAGCCAGAGGGCTTCAGGAGGAGAGTACAGGGAGCAGAGCCCCTTCCTGTGGGACATGGTCGCAGAACAGGAGGGGGCCTGAGGGCGGGCCCAGGGTAGCCATGGTGCTCCTTTCTGTCAGGGGCCCAGGCAGGACACAGATGGGGGTTGCATCTTCGGGGCCTCCTGCCTCAGTTGGCCTTATAAGTTCTTCGTGACCAGGTGGGTCTTGTAATGCTTGGTGAGGTGGTCACTCCTCATGAAGCGCTTCTGACACTGGGCACACTCGAAGCGTTTGTCCCCTGGGAAGAGGAGATGCCTGTCACCCGAAAGCCCAAGCACTCAGAAAGCCCATGCACAGACTCTGTCCTGGCCCTGACAAGGAGAGGTACATGTGAGGGGCACCCATTAAAGCTGACATGGCCTTGTCGCCACATTCTGCCTACCTCCTGCTTATGCATTTGCTCACTAGTGTCTACTGATCTAAACCTTTTTATCAATTCTCATTTCTCTCTGCCCCCCATTTGACCTGTTCCGTCTACATTGTTCTCATGCCTTGTCCTTTGAGTCCTTGCACCTCAGAGTCTTCCTGTATAAGCCTGTCCATCTGCTTTCTTCTGATCTTTGTCCCTCTGACCTTGAACCTGAATCAGCATCTTCACCCTCACAGGAAAACCCCACTCCATCCTGACCTTGCTGGCCCTGAGTACTCACTTAATCCAAACCACACTGACCCAGCAAGGTCAGCTGCTGTGGTGTGGAGCCTCTAGGGGATATGACCTGTCCACCACACTGGCCAGAAGCTGGAGCCCTGGATCACATGTCTCCCCAGTCCCAGGACAGGGGTCTGCTCACTGGGGGCATTCACTAGAACAGCATTCAACCAAAGTGTGTGACCACCAGAGACCACCCAGAACAATTTCAGGTGGTAGAAAGATGAACATTTTTCTAACAGTTTTGCATTTATTTGCCAATACATAAAACTATAACTGTGATATCAAACTTGTGAAATCAAAAATATTGCTTAGGCTGGGCACAGTGGCTCATGCCTTTAATCCTAGCACTTTGGGAGGCCGAGGTGGGAGGATCGCTTGAAATCAGGAGTTTGAGACCTGCCTGAGAGAGACACCGTCTCTACTAAAAATAGGAAAATTAGCCAGGCATGGTGGCACATAGTCCTAGTTACTTGGGAGACTGAGGCAGGAGGATTGCTTGAGCCCAGGAGTTTAAGGTTGCCGTGAGCTAGGCTGATGCCACGGCACTCTAGCCTGGGCAACAGAGCGAGACTCTCTCTCAAAAAAAAAAAAAATATTGCTTAGGACATAACTAAGTAAAAAAGATGAAATAATTTAAGGAAAACCACTAAGCAGTAGGAAGGGCAGTGTGGGATAGTGATTAAGAGTGTGGCAGGGCCTGAGTTTGAACCCAGCTCTACCAGTTCCTAGTTGTGTGACCTGGCTCCTCTCCATCCTCAGCAAATGGCCATAATCAAAGTATCCTCCCATACGGTGCTTACCAGGATTAATTAGGTAATCTGTAGAGTGCTTAGTGCCTGGCATGTAACATCAGTGCTTGGTAAGTAACCATCTATGCGGATATGGCCAAAGTCATCAGGTTGGTTAATTATTTTGGGAAACAATAGTAATAAAGGAATGGCTTGAAAGAATCTCCTGTATAGTCCCTGGACGGGCTGTAATGCTTGTTCAGTGTGGTAATTCCTGGCTGGGCCAGGAGTTTCGATGTTCCTACGGGTGTAGAGTGGGGGTGGGGGTAGAGGTGAGGACTGAGCTGTGTGGGTGGAGGGTGCTGAGGTGGGAGCTGACCTGTGTGGGTGCGAGCGTGCCGCTGGAGCTCGTCACTCCGCGTGAACCTCTTCCCACAGAAGAACCAGTTGCAGACAAAGGGCCGCTCGCCGGTGTGCAAGCGCACGTGGGCCCGCAGCAAGGACGTCTTCCGGAATGTCTTGCCACAGTCAGGGATGTGACACACATGCTTCTTTTTGCCCTGCTCTCCAGATCTGAGAATTGGGATGAGAGTGGGGTGGAGGGAATGGGAAGAGGCAGGAGGTAGAAGATGGGGGCAGGAACAGGATGGAGTGCGGATGTGGGGTCAGGTCAGAGACCACAGAAAAGGCAGAAGGCAAGGTGGCACACAGCCACCAGCTCTTCCTCCCAGGGTCTGTGCTGGCTCCAAGCCCTGGGCAACAGTCCCAGAAGGGGCTTGGGGAACACAGCACAGGCCATCCTGGCAGCCTGGCTCCTCTCTTTGAGTTACCTCTTCTCCCCGTCCTTGCAGTTGGGACATGTGCAGGCCATGCGGCGCCGCTTCTCCCCAGGCTGGGTCTCTCCAGCCAGGGCCTGCTCCATCTGCAGCTGGATCTGGGTGGGGCTCAGCCCGCTAATGGTTAGGTTATTCCCAGAAACATTCTGCACCGTCAGTTGTTGCTGCCCTGTGGGGATGAAGAGGGCAGGGTCAGGGCAAGGAAGCCTAGAACCTCGGATCAACCCTTCCTCCCTTCTGCACATGATAAGGATCGAAACTGTAGCAGGTAATATTTTTGAGAGCCTGTTATGTGCAAGATACATTTTAGAGACCCTATAAGCAGTAACTCATTTAACCTTCATGACCCTATGAAATAGGTACTATCATCACCATTTTACAGATGAGGAAATAGGCTCAAAAACATATCTAGGTCACACAGCTAGTAAACGGTTGACTCCAGATGTGAATTGAGGCCAACAACTTCAGTCAGTGGCCTGAAGCACTGTACTATGCAAGCAGAATTCACTTTAAGATGTTGCCCACATGATTTCCATTGGGAAGCGTCTTGTCTTGGGTTGTCTTGGAGCTTTTCTTCCTGAGTCTCCTCCATCCTTAGGCATTTGTGAAATACCAACTCTTTCAGGAAGATTGCCAGGGATTTTTGTTAATAAGAGCGAGAACACAAGTGTTATGGCTCTTTTAGAATTCGTCTAACAGGCTTTCCAGTTCTTACTGGAAGACCCAAAAATAAAAAAAAATTTTAAAGAGTGAGGACAGGGAGGGAGAAAAAAAAAAAAGAGTGAGGACACAGTTCTACGGGTTTGGGGGAAAATCAAGTCCTCTAGGATGCCTTGTCCTCCCCTTCTGGGGTCACCTCTAGTGGGAAAACCAAATGCATGAAGTGCCAAAAACTTATTAAGGATGAAAAGAGGAGATCCTTCAGAGAGCCCCTAGTACCTTAAAAACTGCCCCTTACCCAGGGAAAGAATGTAAGGCACCATTTTTGGTAAATAGTTTCAATTTTCCCATTATTTGCAAGGCTACTTTCACAGTGTGAATCTCATCAATGCACTGAAGTGCAGCACAAGCTATTCCCACTGCCAAGGGCTACCTCCTTTTCTTCCAACCTAACGCAAGGCTTTCTCCCTTAAGTAGCTTTTTTTGCATTTGGACATCAGCTGGAAAGTTCTCCTGAGCACAGCTATTTTATCCATCACATTCAAGGTCTTCAGCTGTCAGATGGGGACATGTGTCTTAAACTATCTCTTAGCACTACTGTAAGAACTGAAGAGAAGCTACAGATGGACACGCTCTTAAACTACAATGGGCTGGATCCTCACTGTCATTACTGGAAATCCCGGGGCTGGCCCACAGTTCCCACATGCCAGGGGCACAGGCACCACTGCCAACACCCTAGCCATGGGGGCCTTCCTCACCGCCAGTGTTGGTGATGGTGACAGGAACACCCTGGACCTGGACCCCGTTGATGTTGATGGTCTGCATTGCCTGGGCAGCTGCCGCCAGCTGGGCTGCATTCAGGCTGATGATGCTCCCAGCAGGGGCAATCTTTGGCAGGGGACGCTCTTTTCGAAGAATTGCAGCTGAGTGCTTTTTGCTAGTCCCGCTCAGATGGGGAGTGCGGGATGCAGGGCTGCTACAGGTGGTGGTAGAGGTGGTTGCAGCTGTTGCTGGGGGACTGTCCTGGACAAGGACTGTCTGTACCTCACCGGAAGGCGTGCGGATGTAGACCTGGGAGGGGACAGAGACAGAAAGTCAGTGCCCAGGAGCGACTGTACTCCTGGAACCTTAAATGTCCTTGCTCAAGTGAGAATTGAAGTGCCTCTGTTCTCATCCAAACCTCCATCTTTGCACTGCTGATGTTCAACAAAGGGCTGATGGCATCTCCATACTAAGCTGGCAAATGCTGACTATTATTGATTTAATTTAATTACAAACATTTTATTTACTCAGCATGTAAAAATATTGTCAAACTTCAGAATTGGAGAAATAGATGGCAGTATACTTGTGACCATCAAATAAATGAAAACAGGTTCATATTAGTCTTTGAGAGCCACATATTAATGAAAAAAACTTTTCTCTGATTCAGATTGGACAAAATAGGCCGGGCACAGTGGCTCATGCCTGTAATCCTAGCACTCTGGGAGGCCGAGGTGGGTGGACAGCTCAAGGTCAGGAGTTCGAAACCAACCTGAGTAAGAGCGAGACCCCGTCTCTACTGAAAATAGAAAGAAATTAATTGGCCAACTAAAAATACATAGAAAAAAATTAGCCAGGCATGGTGGTGTGTACCTATAGTCCCAGCTACTTGGGAGGCTGAGGCAGGACGATCGCTTGAACCCAGGAGTTTGAGGTTGCTGTGAGCTAGGCTGACACTATGGCACTCTAGCTCGGGCAACAAAGACTCAAAAAAAAGTATTTTACAGGCTGAATGAGCTAGGAGGGCATTTGCAGGGGGTGAGGAGGGTGTTATGGGGGAGGTGCTGACAGGAGCAGGCCGAGGGTGTCCACATGGGAGAGTTGGTGGCCGTGGGAAACTAGTTACATATGGGGGCACCAACCCAGAATACAAGCATATTAAGGATAAATGGGAGTGAGGGCTCTTACTGTCAGAAAAGAGAGTTACATATATGGAAAGGGAGAAACCAGACAGACCCCAGTGGTGTAGGATGGGAATTAGAGATATTGGAGGAAACTTGTAAATTTCAATATATATAGATAGGCCGGGCATGGTGGCTCACACCTGTAATCCTAGCATTCTGGGAGGCCAAGGCAAGAGGATTGCTTGAGGTCAGGAGTTTGATACCAGCCTGAGCAAAAATGAGGCCCCGTCTCTACTAAAACAGAAAAAATTAGCCAGGCATGGTGGCACCTGCCTATAGTCCCAGGAGGGTACTCAGGAGGCTGAAGCACGAGGATCACTTGAGCCCAGGAGTTTGAAGTTGCTGTGAGCTAGGCTGATGCCACAGCACTCTAGCCCAGGCAACAGAGTGAGAGTCTGTCTCAAAAGAAAAAAAAAGGGTAAATAAAAAATTTCACAGCACAAGATACTGTGGGCAAAAGTCTGATGAGGAATGAGCTATTTATAGTCTCCAATTATCTCCCTACAACATATTAATTAATTATAAAGAGAAAAAAAGTTACTTTTAAGGTACAAAAATCTGCCAGGCATCACTTTAACCATCACTAGGAAGTGAGCAAATTGAAATCTTGCTCCACCTCTTAGGATACGGTAAGAACACAGTAGCAATTCTGTGAGATCAAAAAATATACAACCTGCATCTAATCAGCAGGAAACAGCACACAAACCTAAATGGAGGAACATTGACCTGTAGCCTTCAAAAGTGTCAAGATCATGAAAGTCAAGTAAAGAATGAGGAAGTGTTTCAGATCAAAAGAGACTAAGGAGACAGGACAAAGAAATATAATGTGTAATACTGCATCAGATCCTTGTGCCATAAAGAAATTGTTGGGGCAAGTAGTGAAACCTGAATGGGGTCTCTGAATTTGACAGTAGTGTGCTTCACTGCTAATTTCCTGGGTTTGATGATTGTATTGTGGTATGGGGAGTGTCCCTGTGTGTAGGAATTCAAGCACTCGGAAGTGATGTGATGAGAGGATTATGGGGAAAAAGTTCTTTGAAAAAACAATCCAGGCCAGGCCGGGTGGCTCACATTTGTAATCCTAGCACTCTAGGAGGCTGAGGTGGGCGGATTGCTCAAGGTCAGGAGTTCGAAACCAGCCTGAGCGAGACCCCATCTCTACTAAAAATAGAAAGACATTAATTGGCCAACTAAAAATACATAGAAAAAATTAGCCGGGCATGGTGGCGTGTGCCTTGTAGTCCCAGCTATTTGGGAGGCTGAGGCAGTAGGGATTGCTTGAGTGCAGGAGATTGGAGGTTGCTTGTGACTAAGGCTGACGCCACGGTACTCACCTAGCCTGGGCAACAAAGTGAGACTCTGTCTCAAAAAAAAAGAAAAAAAGAAAAGAAAGGGAAAAAAGCACGGGCTCATGTACATCCTAGCGCACCTTTGGGAGGGTCCGACGCGGGCGGGAGTTGCTCAAAAGGTCAGGCGAGTGTCCTAATAGGACCGCAGCGCTGACGCGCAGGAGCCCGTCCTCTACTTAAAACAACATAGAAATAAGAGTAATTGACCAACTAGAAAACTAGTTAGTGCTTATATACAAAAAATAGCCCGGCATTGTGGGGCGGGGCTATGCCCTGGTAGTCCCCAGCTACTCGAGCTGAGTGGACAAGGAAGCGATGGCTTGAGGGTCCACGGGGAGGTGTGAGGGTTGCTGTGAGGCCTAAGGCCTGACGCCACGGGCCACCTTCACTCTAGCCGGTCAACAAAGGTGAGATCTCTGTCGTCAATAAAGAAGAAAAAAAAAACAATCCTGCTGTGATCTTGACTGAGGTTATTTTTAATTCCTGGATTGTGTTTCTCAGTTAAAAGCCAACAAACAAACCCCAGGTCATCTCCTAATAAATACACAAATCTCATTCCCGGTTTTCTGATACACAGCCTTTTTTCAAATCTGATTTTTTATGTGTATATTTGTGTCTGAAGGGTCAACAAACTTTTTTTGAAAAGAGACAGATGGTAAATATTTTAGGCTTTGCAGGCCATATATTCTCTGCCTAAGCCACTCAACTCTATTGTAGTGCATATGCACCACGAATGAGCATGTCTGTTTTCTTTTTCTTTTTTTTTTTTTTGGAGTTCACTCTGTTGCCTGGCTAGAGTGCCGTGGCATCAGCCTAGCTCACAGCAACCTCAAACTCCAGGGCTCAAGTGATCCTCCTGCCTCAGTCTCCCGAGTAGCTGGGACTATAGACATGCGCCACTATGCCCGGCTAATTTTTTCGATATATTATATAATATATATATATATTTTTTTTTTTTTTTTGAGACAGAGTCTCACTCTGTTGCCCAGGCTAGAGTGAGTGCCGTGGTGTCAGCCTAGCTCACAGCAACCTCAAACTCCTGGGGTCAGGCGATCCTCCTGCTCAGCTCCCGAGTAGTGGACTATAGGCATGTGCCACATGCCCGGCTAATTTTTTCTATATATATTAGTTGCCAATTAATTTATTTCTATTGATAGTAGAGACGGGGGTCTCGCTCTTGCTCAGGCTGGTTTCGAACTCCTAACCTCGAGCAATCCGCCCGCCTCGGCCTCCCAGAGTGCTAGGATTACAGGCATGAGCCACTGCGCCCAGCCAGCATGTCTGTTTTCCAATTACACTTTATTTACAAAAGCAAGTGGGAGGCTGGGGCATGGTGGCTCATGTCTGTAATCCTAGCACTCTGGAAGGCCAAGGCAGGAGGATCTTTGAGGTTAGGAGACCAGCCAGAGCAAGAACAAGACCCTATCTCTACCAAATATAGAAAAAATTAGCCGAGCATGGTGATGAGAGCCTGTAGTCCCAGCTACTCGGGAGGTTGAGGCAAAAGGATGGCTTCAGCCCAGGAGTCTGAGGTTGCAGTGACCTGTGATGATGCCACTGTATTCTACCCAGGGCGACATAGTGAGACTCTGTCTCAAAAAAAAAAAAAAAAAAGCAGGTGGGTAAGGCAGTTTTGACCTCACTGCCAGAGACTGCCAAGCTCTAATATAGAATATAATAATACACTTTTTAAAAATGTGCATATCCCTTAGAGCTGAAACCCATTCTACTAAGTGAAGTATCTCAAGAATGGAAAAACCAGCACCACATGTACTCACCAGCAAATTGGTATTAACGGATTAACACCTAAGTGGACATACAGGAGTAACATTTATTGGGTGTCGGGAGGGTGGGAGGGGGAAGGAGGGGATGGGTATATACAACCAAACGAGTAAGATGTGCAACATTTGGGGGATGGACATGCTTGAAGCTCTTACTCAAGGGGAGAGGGGGGGCATGGGCAATATATGTAACCTTAACACTTGTACCCCCATAATACACTAAAATTAAAAAAAATAATAAAATAAATAAAAATGTGCATATCCTTGACCCCCTTTTAGGAATTTATGTAGCTACAAGACTGGAAACAGCCTGGACAAACAGTTTACAGTGTATCAGTTGTACAATAATCAGCATATTGGGATAATGGAAAACATGTAGTCATTAAAAAATAATATGGCTAAATTTTTTTGTATATGTATAATTACTTCCTTAGGAAGACCTGGGTTTAAGTCCTGCCTTCATCGATCTCAAGATATGGGACCTCATAGAAGGGAGAAGAGGCATTGCTGAGGATGTGCACCTGAGCAGGTATTGCCTCAGTTCTTCAGCTGTAAGGTAGATCTGATAATGGGACCTTGCAGGTACTGTGCTAAGTAAACAATTTACAAAAAAAATCACCTGGCAACATAAAATATTCCAGAAAGGAGGAAGGGAGGAGGCTTTTTAGGGCAGACCTCTGATTTCCTCCTGTAAGACATCCATGTCCACAGTTCTAGGGCACTTTTTTTCTTTTTTGTGAGACAGGGTCTCTCTTTGTTGCCCAGGCTAGAGTGAGTGCCGTGGTATCAGCCTAGCTCACAGCACCCCCAAACTCCTGGGCTCAAGCAATCCTGCTGCCTCAGCCTCCTGAGTAGCTGGGACTACAGGCATGCGCCACCATGCCCGGCTAATTTTTTATATATATATTAGTAAGCCAATTAATTTCTTTGTATTTATAGTAGAGACAGGGTCTCGCTCTTGCTCAGGCTGGCTCTTGCTCTTGCTCGAACTCCTAACCTCGAGCAATCCACCCGCCTCGGCCTCCCAGAGTGCTAGGATTACAGGCGTGAGCCACCGTGCCTGGCCTAGGGCACTTTTTCTCTACCCAGGAGATTGGACAAGTTCTCACTGTTAACCACTGTCTATGAACAACTAGATCATAAATCCCTCAATGGCAGGGGCTTTTTTTTTTTTTGAGACATGGTTTCACTCTGTTGCTCCGGCTAGAGTGCAGTGGCATCATCATAGCTCACTGCAACCTCAAACTCCTGGGCTCAAGCAATCCTCCTGCCTCAGCCTCCTAAGTGGCTGGGACTACAGGTGTGCGCATCCTGTGAGACTGGGTCTCACTATGTTGCTCAGGCTGGTCTTGAACTCCTGGCAATCCTCCTGCCTCAGCCTCCCAAAGTGCTAGGACTATAGGCATGAGCCCCCATACATGGGTTATTATTATTTTTTAAATTAAAACAACAACAACAACAAAAAACCTTGTCCCCAATTTCAATGGCAGCACCTGCCACACATCAGACACAAAGAGCCAAGGCGGAAAATGGAAGAGTATGGAGTTTGAAGTTAGAAATCTGCATTGAATCCTGGCTCTTGTCATTTATACCCTATGAGATCTTGGATACTTTATAACTTCTGAGTTCTCCATCTGAAATATGGGCACAATCTCTGGCACTCAGTAGGCACGCACAAAGAATAAAACCTGCCTCTTGGAGCTAAACAGATTTCTGGAGTTATTAGAGACATCAATAAATGCCAAAAGTTCTTATTGAATTTAACATCCCAGATGAATCTGACCTAAATGATCCTGCTATAAAGCTAGACTGCTTCTTCCTATTTTTTCCATGTTATTAACAATGATTTTTTTCATTAGTTTTCTTACTTTACATAAAATTCTATGGTTCTCACTGGAATGTTTTCATTCTCACGACCGTTCTGAGGAATTCTATAATAAAAAATAAACTTTAAAAGTATATATCTGTCCCTTATCTATTCCCCAAAAGACATCCCATCAAGAAAAAGAACCAAAATATACCTATGTGTCATCTGATTTCTAAGGATAAGCAGAACTGGCCTTATGGACTGAAGACAGCCTATCTTTCAGGTAGAAATGGCCACTTACTGCCCACTCTAAAAGATTCTGACTCCTGACACTCAGATCAAATCAGATGATCAGCATTATCTTCAAAGCAAGCCAAAGGGCAACCAAAACCAAAGGAGGGGAGGGAGGCAAGTGCGGAGAGGTGTGGTACCTGAGTAGGCGTCGACTCAGCTGCCTGGATCTGAAAGTTCTGGGAGGGCTTCTGGGGGACAGTGGGGAGGGTGGCAGATGCTGCCTGTACCACCCGCAGAGCCTGCTGAGGGATCTGCACCACTTGCTGCTGCTCAGCCTTGGGGGGCACCACCTGGACCTGCTGGACCACAGCTGGCTGGCCCCCACCAGGGCTCTGAACAATGAGCAGGTTGTTTCCTGCCTGGATGATGTTGTCTGCAGTGGTCTCGATTAGCACCGTCTCCACCTGCTCGGCCACGGCCACGGGGGGCTGGGAGGCAGGAAGGCTCTTCTTCCTTGCTTTCTTGTTAGTTTTAGACAGTGGGGTAGGGGGGCTTTCAGTGAGGAGCTGAGTGGGGGCCCCGGTGTCACTGGCATTCACGAGGTTGTTGACTGGCAGAGTGAGTGTCACGTTGCCGCCCCCACCTGTCAACTTCACCACGTTGGCCCCGCTCTGAACAGCGGTGGTGGTTGTACTTGACTTCTGGACAGGGGCTGGCTTGATGGGGACAGGCTTGTGACTGGACGGTGAGGGAGTGATGATGGCTTGGTTGGTGCCAGGGATGATCTGGATCTGGTTGGTGAGATTGGGCTGCACTTGGATGGTCTGGGAACCGCCTGCCTGAATCTGAGAGACTGCCTGGTACTGGATATTGGCATTTGATCGGGTCCCTTTGTTGATCATGGTGGGATTCTGGATAGCAAACACCAGCTGCCCTCCAGGATAGGAGGTGCTCAGTTGTGACCCCTGAATCTGAAGTATATTGCCTTTGGAGGACAGGATTCCAAAGCTATTCTTGCTGGGACTGAGAGGGAGAGGGGCAGGTTTGATAGGGACGAGTTTCCGTGGTGTGGGCTGGGGGGGAGCAGGAGGCGTCACAGCAGCTTCAACAGCTGGGGGGCCAATTTTGCTACATGTTGCAGCAAGCAGGGCTAAGGGAGATGGCTGGGAGTCCTGCAAAAAAAACAGCAGAGAAAAGGAGTGAGACAGGAAGGCCCGATGCCCAGCCAACCTCTGCCTGTCAGGATCCTCTTGCTTCTGGCAGCCTTTGCCATGGCTCTTCCCCACCTGTGGCAGGCATGCTGCCAGCACCTCCCCTGCAGTGGCTCTTATCTCCCCTCCCCTGCTGGTTTCTCTGTTAAGTAACTAAGGGAGAAAAGGTAGGAAATGTCTTTCTCAAGAACTCCCCAGAAGCACCCCATGGACAGGATAAGGGCTGCCTTCTTTGCTCCCCACTGGCCTTGTTTCTAACAGGGACAGTGAATTGTCCTTGGGTCTTAGATGGCATTCCTTTAGCCCACCACAGGGACTGAGGACCCGACTGCTCAATTGAGGAAGGGTTGCAGAAAAGGTGGGAGGGGCAATAGGTGGAATAAACACTTTGATCAAGTGTTTTCTAGTACTTGGAACATATGACTATAGACTGGGGAAGGCATTCCTTCACGGCAATAACAAAAAGAGCCTCTGTTTTCCTTTTATGGGCAATGGGGTCTGGTGGAAGCAGTGTTGAGTTTAATCCTGGTATTTCCCCCTGATCCAACTGAGGCCATGGTTTCTTAATTCAGAAAATGTGGGTAATTGGACCATCCCCAGTCTCCTATCCTGGGCTATGTATAGTGAGACAATGGGGAGAAAGGGTTTTTAGCACGTCTGTACAGGCAGCTGCAGTCCGGCCCCCAGAGCCCACTGGCCACTTGCCTGGGTGGTGGAGGCAGCAGGCTGCAGGTAGTCACTGGGACTGACAGCAGCAGTGGCAGCCATGCTGGTCTGTGGATCTGCTGGAAGAAAAGAAACAGAGTAATGCACAAGATGCCCAAAAAGAACCCAAGCCCACTTGTCTCAGATTTCCTTTTGCCTCTGGTTGTTGCTGCTTCTTTAAGAGAGGCTAACAACCCTTGCCCACACTTCCCTACTCTAGGTTAGCAGCCCTAGGTCTATTTTAGTAGATGACCTTCTCCTCTCCTCAAACTCAGCCATCCGAGGCCATGAGGACAGCTGGTCCTGCGGCCACAGGGCTGTCCCCTCCAACCACCGTAAAGTCTGGGATAACACAAAGATACCAAGACTGTCTTCAGTAACTCAGCTGTGCTATATAATGGAGCTGTCTCTGCTGTACACTGCTGGCTCTCCCTAGCTAGACCAGAACCCCCCTATGGTAGGCAGGGGGAGGCCCCCAACTATTCCTCTAGCTCTTAACTCAAGCTCTTGCTGTAGCCAGATGCCAAACCTGCCTGGGAGAGAAGCACTGCTCAGCCAGGACTCCTGACAAGGACATACATGCCTGCTGCATTCTGTTCTGAAGTCTTGGGTGTTTCATCCTTAGCCTTTACCACAAAGGCACAGCGGCCCCAGGAATCATATAGACTATAGAGCCCACGGGCAATTTCTTTAAGTGAATCTACACTTTGACACAGGATAATAGGTATGGCCCCATAGGTATCACCAACACTAGGCAGAGATAACTGACTGAATATAACAAAAATGAAAATAAATTCTACTTTTGTTTAAATGTATGCAATATATGTAACCTTAACACTTGTTAATTTACATATATGTAAATTTACATATATGAATATAGCCAAATGGGAAAAAGTTTTAAAAAAAGATAAAAAAAAAAAAAAGCCATTATCTCTCTTTTTTTTTTTTTTTTTTTTGAGACAGAGTCTCACTTTGTTGCCTAGGCTAGAGTGAATGCCATGGCCTCAGCCTAGCTCACAGCAACCTCAAACTCCTGGGCTCAAGCAATCCTTCTGCCTCAGCCTCCCAAGTAGCTGGGACTACAGGCATGCGCCACCATGCCCGGCTAATTTTTTCTATATATATTAGTTGGCCAATTAATTTCTTTCTACTTATAGTAGAGACGGGGGTCTCACTCTTGCTCAGTCTGGTTTCGAACTCCTGACCTGGAGCAATCCGCCCGCCTCGGCCTCTCAGAGAGCCAGGATTACAGGCGTGAGCCACCGCGCCCGGCCAGCCATTATCTCTTAGTGGTAGAATTTTGCTTGACTTCATTTTCCCACAGTGAATATACTCTACTGTATTTATTTATTTATTTTTTTATGTGACAGACTCTTGCTCTGTTGCCCCAAGGTAGAGTACGGTAGCATCATTATAGCTAACTGCAACCTCTAGCTCCTGGGCTCAAAAGAGCCTCAGCCACCAGAGTAGCCAGGACACCCAGCTAATCTTTCTATTTTTAATAGAGACTGGGGTCTCACTCTTGCTCAGGCTAGTCTTGAACTCCTGACTTCAAGCAATCCTCCCACCTCGGCCTTCCAGAGTGCTAGGATTACAGGCAGCAGCCACCACGCCTGGCCTATTGTACTTTTTTTAAATAAAGGAAAATAAAGAAGATTGAGGAAGTAATGAAGGGAATCTCTACTCTGCACTGAAGTCTGATCTAGAAGAAAAACAAGATAAGGAAAATGGAAGTCATGAGAATTTTGGGAGAAAGAATCTATGCCATCTTAGAGTTCATACAATCATTAGAGAAAAGGACAACGGCCAGAGTCAGACTTACACCCTAGACCTTCTGAATGTAGATTTCAGGAAGTACAGAAACAAGAGAGGGGTATTACTTTGAAAACTCAAAAAGAACAAAAAGGCTCAGGGATTGAGCCCCTATAGGGAATTTGGTGAGAAGAGGACAGAGGCTGGGGAAAAATCAGAACCATTAGCGTTTTTGGCTGCCCTGGGGCTTCTCTCTTTGGGAGGATGACTCTTAAGTAGGAAAAGGTAAAGGAAAGGCGGGGGAGGAACTGAAGCCCAGGACAGGCGATGGGCTGGTAAGAAAACACACCAGCGCCTTACATAGGTTACCAGGTCCTAAGTCCACACAAAACCAGAGAGGGGAGGCTTTGCAGACACACTTGCAAATTATCTGAGGAGCCAGAGGACAGCTCTGGGCAAAATTGTATATGTAGGTCCTGATATATTACAGGCACTGATCCTCAGCAAAATCCTAGAGCCAATGATTGAACAGTACTACTATTAGTGAGGGAAAGGCGTGATCACAAGGAATAAGCACCGAGTCACAAAAAAACCAAGTCACCCCCATAATATGCCAAAATAAAAAAACAACAACAAAAAAAAAACAAGTCACGCTGAACAAATCTGTTTCTTTCTTATAGGGTTTTGGATGGACACATTAGGGAGATGGTATACATCATGCATTTTATTTCAACTGCCATCTGACTGAAATCTTCATAATATCCTTACGAACAAGAAGGGCAAAAATGTGGGCAGGATAATAGTCTAGTCTGGGGACTAAGCTGAACATGCCTCCACCTGAGCACTGAGGAGTTTGCTGCTGCAAGGTCAACCTCAGTGTCTCAAACTTGGGATAACAGCGCCAAGGTCCAGAGTAAAGGCTTCTCAGAGGCCTTTTTATTCTTGTGTTTTCCCTGTGATGATCATCTTTTTAAAAGTGAACATACACCACAAAACACTGGAAGACTGTTGCTTAACCAAGTCCTGCACATCTCAGGGCCTGTGTGTGTGTGTGTTTATAAGTGCACCACTATAACTGTGTGGGCTGATTAGGACAACTTAATTCTGCACATTTAATTCATGATACATCTGTACAAAGTGAAGGAGGACTTCTCTCCAGAAGCAGGGGGAGGACTGTGTCACTCTGCACCGGCACACTACAGGGTGGGCATGCAGCACCCAAGGAGCCCAGAGAGTCAAGTCTGTGCCCTGCTTACACAGAAAGCCGTGATTTGGGTTCAGTCAAACATCATCCTCCCAGAATGACTATATTGATTTGAATTTTACTGGATTTTTTTGCAGTTACATGTGTTAACTTTATAGGAGCTAGGTCAACACAGATGTATATACATATAAAATTATAACCTAAGTCAATCCCAAAACATTTTTCCTTTAGAGCAGTGGTGTTCAAATTATTAGAGCATGAACCAAAGTTATAAAAACAATTTACATGAAGACCCACATACATGTGTATGCACGTACACACACACACACACACCCCACACATACCCTATCCCATGCTCATGTAATAGAAGTTTCCTGAAACAAAATTTGCCCTATTACAGTAATGGACTTTGACTTTTTTTTTTGAGACAGAGTCTTACTTTGTTGCCTGGGTTAGGTTGCCGTGGTGTCAGCCTAGCTCACAGCAACCTCAAACTCCTGGGCTCAAGCGATCCTCCTGCCTGCCTCAGCCTCCTGAGTAGCTGGGACTACAGGCATGCACCACCATGCCCAGCTAATTTTTTCTGTATATTTTTTAGCTGTCCAATTAACTTCTTTCTATTTTTGGTAGAGACGGGGTCTCGCTCTTGCTCAGGCTGGTCTTGAACTCCTGAGCTCAAATGATCCACCTGCCTCGGCCTCCCAAAGTGCTAGGATTACAGGCGTGAGCCACAGCACCCGGCCTGACATTTTCCCACTCTATTTAATTTTTTTAAATGCTGGCTGTGACCCAGTAAATTCATTTTGTGCCCTACAGGCTGAAAACATGGCTTTAGAACAATCTTATCCACCACCCAAGTTTGGGAAACAGTATAAAGATTGAGAAGCCAAGTTAAATTTGCAGATGTCACAAAACTTGGAAGAATTATAAACACAATGAGTGTCAGTATTAGGGTTCAAAGACATCTTTTTAAAAAACCCAGAAAGTACAATGCTTAAGAGTGTGAGGCTCCAGACCCAAATGAGAATTCTGACTGTGCCATTCATTAGTGAGGTGGTCACTCTCAGCCTCATTGTACCTCTGTACAAGAGAGATAATGTCATCCTTAGAGGATTTCTGTGAGGCTTCAATAATTTATATGAAAGCATTGAGCAAAGATCTGGCATATAGTGGACAATCAATAAATGGTGGTTTAAAGCTTGGTAAATACTGCACTTAGGTTACAAAACTAATCACATGCATATAGGGCAGAAAGAGCTTAATAGTGCTTCTCATGTGAAAAAGCCCCAGTGATTTGACTTAAACTAAATGGCAGCCAATAGAATCTAGAATAGTTCCCAGAAAAGCTACTACAATTTTGGACTGCATTTCTAAAAGTTAAATCATAGAACAAGAAAAATAATAGTCCTAGTGTATTCTGCCCACTTGGGGCCACATCTGGAGCATCAGGTTCTATTCTAAGAGACATTTTCAATGGGAGCTTGTTCAGAGAAAAGCAGGCCAGGCGCGGTGGCTCACTCCTGTAATCCTAGCACTCTGGGAGGCCGAGGCGGGTGGATTGCTCAAGGTCAGGAGTTCAAAACCAGCCTGAGCAACACCCTGTCTCTACTAAAAATAGAAAGAGATTAATCCACCGACTAAAAATATATATATAGAAAAAATTAGCCGGGCATGGTGGCACATGCCTATAGTCCCAGCTACTTGGGAGACTGAGGCAGGAGCATTGCTTGAGCCCATGAGTTTGAGGTTGCTGTGAGCTAGGCTGACGCCATGGCACTCACTGTAGCCTGGGCAACAAAGCAACACCCTGTCAAAAAAAGGAAAGAAAGGAAAGAAAGGGGAGAGAGAGAGAGAGAGAGAGAGAGAGAGAGAGAGAGAGAGAGAGAAAAGCAGCAGTGGTTGAGGCCAGGGTGCCTGAGTAGGGACATTCACCACAGTACTTATTCCATGTGTGGGTTCAAAGGGTGGAACCACAATTCCTATGTGGACATTTCAAGAAGGCAGATTTCGGTCTAACATAGGATGTATATCTCTGTTGAAGATAGGATGTTGAGGTGGGGTAAGAAGCTGGACTAAATGGTTTTTAAATTTTTGTACTTCTCAGACCATGTTGCTGATAAAAAC